CTACTATAGATACGATTGACCGTACGAGGATGAACACCAGTAAGTCAGAGATCTGTGATGTAGACTTGCCAACAGAAGGTGACTTTAACGCCACAATTAAGGTGCGGGTGTAAGGATCAGTATTAGGAGACATTGTAACGATAGATACAGACAAATCGTACAGCTACTCAGCTCAAAGGTGGGAGTTGCGCCAAGAAGAGTTATGCCGAAGCGCCGAGATTAGCGTGGGACAAAACTTTTGTGAGGCACCTCCGTATATCTCCGTCCTATTTTTCCGTTTGCTGATCCTCTCTTACTCTGGTCTTTGTTCTCGTCTCTTCTCTTTTGATTCTTGTTATTCCTACTCTTACTCCCTACTCCGTCTTTTTTTCTTGACTTCAACTTGCCTTCTTCTTCTTCTTCTTCTTCTTCCCTCCACAACACCACACAATCAGATACGTGACAAAGCGAGTCAGTTAGTCGCAACCAAGCAAAACAATCCCCTAACAGAATTGATTCCTCGCAGCAGAAGAAGGGGCAAGAAAGAAGAAGAAGAAGAAGAAGAAGAAGAAGAAGAAGAAGAAGAGAAACAAAGGTGAATAAAGTTTCCCGCTTAGTAAACCAACCGAGGTGTTGGTGGCCCTGACCCAACAAAAGTAAGTACGTGTGTAGAGTAGTTAGTGCGGGGTCGAATTTGCTGGCGTGGCCCTTCGTATACCGGTATACATGCTTCACATGCATGCGCATCCAGTACGTACATGTCAAGAAAGAAAGGGAGTGAGGAAATCAAGGGAAGGGAATGGAATGGAATAGAGTCAAGGAAGAGTGGTGGTGGTGGTGATGATGATTGGAAGATGGATACTATGGATTCTATACACATGTGCATTCAAGTGGGAATTGTAAACAGCAAGATCATTGGAAAAAAAAAGGGAGTACTTAAGTAATTTAAAACTATAGAAGAGAACGCATGATACTAGGCATAACTAAGACGGTGGTAGTAGAGTGTTATAGCTGTAAATGTAAAACCATGTTGATATAGTCCTTGCCATCAAACTGCAATCCCAGCAACTCCAATCCAGCAATCCAGCAATCCAGTAACTAACGCAATACCCGTCACCATGCTCATGACGACTTCCTCGGCAACTCGCGAAACACCTCTTTGAAAATCTTCTTGCTGTTGTACAGGTTGACGAGCCTCAGACGCTCATTGTTCAAATGCGCGCTGTCGCTTGCTTGGCCACACGGAAGATGGGCGGCAGGTGCATTGAATTCCTTTTCAAGGAACCGAATAGTAGGGATAGATCCACCTTCGCGAATGTAAAGGGGCTTGCGTGGGATGCCCGTCTCTGCTGTATCAGGCGTTGAAGTGCCGGAACTAGGGCCTGCGCCAGAAAGTGAAGGGTCAGCAGAATTGGCAAGAGTGTTTGATGTCGCGGGAACAGTGGGCTTCTTGGTCACAGCTTCTGAGCTGTTTCTAGAGTGCGCAGAAAAGTAGTCCGAGGCTTTGGCTGCTGGCATGCTCTCTCTTCGCTGACCCAGTCTCGGCCCCCAGACGGACATGATGGCGCGTTCGAGCGTCTGGAAGATCTCGTTGTTGAAATCGCCCAGCCATGGCTCGGCCTGGTGGTCAATCGTCACTTTGAGTTCGTTCTTCGAGTCGAGGTCCTCGAATTGTTCTTGCAGAAACGACTTGAGCGCCTCGGCTACATTTCCGGCTTCCTGGTTCGGCACCAGACGGATCGACAGGGCAGCCTTTGCAAGTCGCGGGATAATCGTCGAGTTTTCTGGCCCCGACGTCTGAAAGCGATGTATGGTAAGAGATGCTTCTCGCCATCGGCGCATCAGTGACTGTGCCAGCTCGTCTGCGTCGCCCAGGTCTGGATTACTCCGCAGCAACGTCTCGGTGATTTCCGTGTACAGGTCCTTTTCATCATCCGTCAGAGGCAGGATAGGGTCATAGAAACCCGGAATCTGCACCTTTCCGTGTCGAGCCGTCAGCTTGGAAAGCAGCATGACGAGGTCCTTGAGCGGCTCATCGAGCAGCGCGCTACCATCCACACCACTGTGCAAATCGGGATGCTTACTCTCAACCTGCACAGTGGCATGGATGACGCCTCGCAAGCCATACGTCAGACACGGCACATGGTCATCAAGCCAGTAGCTGTTTGCCAGCAGAATCCAGTCAACGTCACCGATGAGGTCTTTTCGTGCGCGCACAGCCTTCTCGAAGCCACGAGATCCGCTTTCCTCTTCGCCCTCAATCAGAAAGATGATGTCAGAGTCTAGGCTCTGCTCGTTGGCCAGCTCGTGTGCAGCGTAAATGGCCGCCATAATAGGGCCCTTGTTGTCGGATGCGCCACGGCCGTACAGATAGCCCCCTTCGCCCGTGAGAGTAAATGGGTCATGCTTCCACTTGCGATGCTCATTTTCTGCAGCAATGACATCGTAGTGGCCGTAAAACAAAATCTTCTTGCGCGATGCGGCTGTAGCCGGGTTACCCCGGAACTTGGCAAAGACTATTGGATTGTAGTCGGATGTGTTGATCATCTCGGTTACAGCACCAAAATTCTGAAAGACGGATCGCAGGTAGGATGCACCTCGGCGGCAGTCTGCGCGATACTTGGGCAGCGATGATACGGTCCGAAACGAAACGAATTGACTCAACGACTCCACCATGAGATCTGCAAGCTACATTAGATGCGCGAATAGTCGGGTGCCAGCGTTACGCACCATTGTTGCTTCTTCTCGTAGCGGCATCGGGCTCCGCGCAGTCCTTGACCTCCCAAATGACAATGGTGTCGTCGTTGCCGCCCGTCACAAGGATGGACTTGTCTTCGCAGCGCGTGACCGCAGAGGCTAGCATCAGGCCATCGTGGGCTTTGAACGTGGTAATGGTCTCGTAGTGTTCGTTGAATTTCTGCTTGGGTCAGATTGGCCGCCCCAGCATCCCCCCCCCCCTACACACACTCACCTGCATAACACCCGTCTTACCACCGGCATACAGGACACCAGAGCCCAGCGACAATGTGTGCACGTCGCCGGTGCCCGCCTTGAGACTGCGCACTAGCTGCCGGGTCTCCAAGTCCCAGACATTGACTTCGCCGTCGAAGCGTCCGCTGTACAGGAAGGAACCTTCTCGGGCGAGCGAGAGAATCGATTCGCCCTCTTCGCGGCCGTCCTCGAGTGTGTAGATGCCTGAGATGCTCCCCCGCTGTGCCGGGTCTATTCTCCATAGCTGAATGCGGCCGTCTCCTCCTCCCGAAACTAGCACTTCTTCTGACGGGGCTTCGGGTAGTATGCCGCTTCCCACCAGCATGCAATGCACGTAACCATAGTGGGCGAACTGGCAAATGTCACGGTTGTCGATTTGCAGTTCCTGCCCGCCTGCAGCATCTCGGGGCCTAGTGTCTGCACCGCCGGGTCTGGGTGTTTGGGCACCGCCTGGCCCGAGGGAGTCGAAGAACCGGTTCTTGCGCTCGGCGGGGTGTGAGGAGAGGCTCGGGGCGGGGCGAGTGTCTTTTTCTTTCAGGTCATACCACTGGCATTGTTAGTAACGTCGGCAGATTGTCGTGTCGTGCTGTTCCTACTTGTATGCTGGTGTTCTGGGCCCCCAGATATACCGTCTGGTGCTGGGACGAGTATGCGACGCAGAAAATGTCGCCAATGTCGTACGGAGACCACAGCGCATAGAGGTGTTTGAACGTCGACGTGCACCAGACCTGGCGGGTTAGTATCGTGTACAAACTCGTTGCGGGGGGCAGCCACTGACATTGACAATTGGATCTGCTGCGCTCGAGAAGAGCCACCTGTGGTCCTGCGACAGACACAGACCAAGCACACTGCCCTTGTGCGCATGTACCACCCTCCGGAGCTCGTAGGTATCGAGGCTGTAGACCTGCACGGCGTCAGCTGGCTGCAAAAAAAAACTAGCCTCTGCTATGGGCGTACCAGAATCTCGCCGCCCTGGGTGCCGGCGAAGATGGAGTGCGAAGAGACGGCCAGTGCGAGGATGGACTTGTCGTGTTTCATGCGATGCGCGAGGGCGGGGGCTCGATCGGACAGCTCATGGCCGGTCTCAGCGCGGGTGGGCGCAGTGGCATCATTGTGCGGAGGGGCGGCTGCTGGCATGGTCAGCCTGGGTCCAGAGAGCACCGGTGGTGTTGTTCCTGCATGGTCGCGTGTAAGGCGGGCGAGTTGGCGAGTTGGCGATGACGGAGGCGCCGTGTGCAGGGTCTAGGGGTACACCGGCTGCGGGGCTGCCTGTCCGCCCACGACGGATTACATTATATGTAGCGCTGTCACGCGCCTGGACATACCTCTCCATCCCAGAGCCCGCTTTGTCTGGGACGCCGTCAACGTGAAGGCCGAGGTGCACATGGCCCGTCTGCCAGTCGAGCTGCAGCCCGAGAGAAGATGCAAGGGGAACAAGGCAGCAGTGGGGCTGTCTGCGTCGTGGCGAGGCCGATGGTCGTCAGTCAGAGAGAGCGCGCAAGGAGACAGCAGCCCGTCGCCCTGGTCCGCCTCGTCGAGCGTCGTGTTGGAGGACGCATCATCGTCTATCGACGACGACGAAATGGTAGGAGAGGGCGCGCACTGTTGCGCGTACTGGCACTCGGCCTCACCGCCCGGACATGGCGAGCGGCGACGCTGATATGGCGCCATCTCTGGGGCAGAAGTGGTGTCTCACGATCAGTTCAAGAGGTAGCCTGCCGCGCCTTTATTGCGGCTTTGCTTTGCTCGACAGCGCCGTTGCACGCGCGTGAGGACAAGACTGGGAGAAGACGATTGACAGTGCCAGGCGACATGCGGTCAGGAGCGTCTGCTGCCATTGGAAGCACAGTGTCGCAGTGCAGTGCGGGCGCGCGACCTGACCGTTTGGCGGCTGGTACGTGTTCACGGCGCAGAGGCAGCACAGCGATTGCAGCCATGGCAGTCACCGAACGACTCCGCCCATGGCCGTGGACGCGCATGGCATGCCGTACGAGAACGTGGAAGAGGGTTTGCGGGAACATGCATAAGACGCGGAAGTGTGCCGTGGCGCCTGCAAGCAGCAGCAAAGAAGACAGGATCGTCGGCGACGCTGTGTGCTGGGCCAACCGACAGACAGCAGCGCTGGAGAGGGGGCTGGGATGCGGGCCGGGGCGGGCGACACGACAGCGATGGATATACAGTAGGTGTACATGTGGGTGTACTATTGCTATGGTACTAGCAGCCTGAATCATTCACCGGGACCGGGGCGCGTGTATGGATGCCAATACCGGGGGGCCGAGAGTGGATGACCCGGAGAAGCGGAATGGGAATGGTGAAGGGTTGCAGCAGTCTGCAGGCGAGGGAAAAAAAGCAGCCCAAAGGAAAGTCGGTGGGCATGACGGTGGGAATGACGGAAACGAGCAGCGAGTGGGCTCGGCCAGCCACACTGATGATGACGCTCGGCAGAAAAAAAAGGGCAAAAAGGGCAAAAAGAAACGCGCGGAAAAGGGGGATGCGACGGCTCAGGCTGGCAGCGGTGGTGGTGGTGACGCAGCTGTGCATGCTGAGAAGCGTCGAGACGGCCGGGAGGGGGGGGGGCGAGGGCGTGTGAGGGAGGGCGAGGCAGGGCGGGCGAGGTGGTGAGGGCGAGGGCGACAGCGGTTGGCCGTGGGGGATTGTCGCGTGTGGCCGTCTAGACCCTTCTACGGGCGGAGCACCGCCACAGCACGAGGCACCAGCCACAGCACCGCGCCACGGCTGGCGCGGCTAGTGCGATACAGTCACGGCCCTCACAGCCCTCGCAGCCCTCACAGCCTCCCATGGGCTGGCATCCCCCGCCTCGTCTCACACGCAACCCGGCAGGCGATCTGCCAGCTGGACAACTAACTGCATCGATGCTGCTAACGCTACAAAGCGCGTTTGGGCATCAAGACAGCGGCATCAGCAGGCGCACGCAAGCCACGCCTGCAGCAGCTAGTCGTCCACTCGCAGCAGCGACACGTTCACCGTGTGTGCCGCCGCATCGCAGACGCCGGGCCCCGCGCCAATGGCCGCCCAGCCAGCGTGGGATGGGCGATGCAGCGTCTCGCCGCCCGCTCTTCCGGCCGCCCCTCACCACCCACTGACATGGCGACACGCTCATCCGCCATGCCTGTCCTGTATCCGCCCGAAACAACCACACGACACGCCGCGACCAGGGACAGCGCGAGGCGTCAGGCAGGCTCAGGCTTGGACTCACACTCGCACCCGCCTCGGTCCCCCCCTCCCTCCCCCCCTCCCCGCAGGGCCACTGTCATCATGGCTGCACTGCTGTTGGGCTGGGCGCGCGCATAATCGCCTCACTCCGATAGTACCGCCGCTATAGACGTGTTTCCAAAATCCCTTAAGAGCCACGCCGCGTCGCATCAGCTCGACGATCCAGGTGGAACCTTGTGGAGTTGCGCCAGCTGCCGTTGCCGCGAGCATTGATCCCTCTTGACCGCCTCAACCCACCGGTAAACCAAACCACCACAAGTACCACGCTCACCGCAACACTCTCCCCGTCGCACAAAAACCCCTCGTCTGCCCGCTGTGCATGCTGCAGGAACACGCTGCCCCTAGTACGTCACAATGGCTGTTGGACTCGGCGAAACCATCACAGTCATCAACAAGAGCGGCAAAGTGGTGAGCAATGTAAGTACACACAGTACATAGCCCGCCATTGGCTCTATCCATGCCGCCCTTACTAACCACCGCCCCTCGCGCAGAGCAAGCATCTTTTCAGCGTCTTCAAGGAAGCAAAGGCTGCCTACCGCGAGCGCAAGGCTGAAATCAAGGCCGAGCGCGATGCCGCCGCCAAAGAGAAGGAGCTCACCCGGAGCGTAAAGACGCTGCGCATCGAGGACGATGCCCGCTCCCACGTGTCGCACCGCTCAAAGGCGTCAAAATCTGGCCGTCCGCCCATGGAGCGCGGCCACACTGACGGCCCCCGCACCAGCCGCCATCGCTTTGAGGACGACCTCAACAGCGCTGGCCGCGAGGCACACAACAAGGAAATCGCAAGACGCCATTCCGAACAGCCCCACCGCCGATCGCTCGAAAAGGTATCCCGCTCCAAGTCGACGCCCGACATCGACATGGACCTGGCCTATGGCGACGTGCCCCCTCCTCTGCCCGACACGCAGTATGACGATGCAGAGCTGAAAGAAAAGGCCTCCAAGATCGAAATGCTCCTGGACGAAGCCAACGCCCTGCAACACACTGCCACGGCCATTATCGAGAACCTGCAGAAAAACCCCGAGGCCCTCGCCGCCGTGTCACTCACGCTTGCCGAGATTAGCGCCATTGTGAGCAAGATGGGCCCTGGTGTGCTCATGTCGCTCAAGGGTAGCTTCCCTGCAGTTGCAGCACTACTTCTCAGCCCCCAGTTTATGATTGCCGGGGGTGTCGCTGTGGGCGTGACCATTGTCGCACTCGGCGGCTACAAGATTATTAGGAAGCTGCAGACCCAGGACGCCCTCGAGCCTCCTGAGAACCCCATGCCCATGCGTGCCGCCACTGCCCCCGCCGTAATCGAAGACTCCAACAACGAGCTCGACGAGCTCCAGCCCCAGGAGCTCAGCCGTGTGGAAAAGTGGCGCCGCGGCATTGCCGACATCGAGGCTGAAAGCTGCGGCACCAGCGTTGACGGCGAGTTCATCACGCCCGGCGCATCGCGAGAGCTGTGCGACGCTGGTGTTCTCGACGAAGACGACCTCAAGTCTCGCCGCAGCACCCGCTCCAAGAGGACAACGGGCGAGTCTCGACACAAGTCACATCGCTCCAAATCGGGCTCCAAGCCCAAGTCAGACTCGAAATCAGAACACAAGTCAGAACACAAACGCTCTTCAAGTAAAGCTGGCAGTGTCTCCGGAAGGAGCACCAAAGAAAGCAGCAAAAAGAAGGAAAAGGAGCCATCCGGCCTCAAGATGCTGTTCCGTTCGCACACGGTTGCCGTTTGAGTAACATCACGGCATACGTTTTTTTATCATAGCGCTCGGCGTTTGTTATTTTCGCACAGCCGCATCGCATAGGCATTCAGCATTGTTTTTATCGTTTTTAAACCGCATAGACGACGCTTCTCTCAAGGGTTCATCCCCTCGTCGTTTACTCTTTTGGTTTCGAGTCTGTTCATCTCTCATGTTTGGCGCAGGGGCGTATAATATGTTACGAATATCGCGAGGCCCACGAAATAATTGATTTACGCCGCGCATGTATCGCATAGTTTGGCTAGTACAGCTAGCTGGTATGAAATTGAATGGCTATGCTTCTTTGACGTCTACATCTTGATTCTTGCTATTGACTATGAAATGCTTTGAACGAATTACTCGTATGACGAAATGTAGACAGGGGATGCTGGAGATGGACTAGCCAGCGTATGTCACTGAGACATGTATCTAATGCAATGTCACCGCAGTACCAAAGAACAGGACGTCCATTCTTGTAGGATTTGAATGCATGACGTACATGCATTTATTCATTCCAGTACTAATCATCAATAGTCCTGATAGTCTAGTGAAGAAACTAAACAACCCTCATAATCCAATCAATATAAGCACTCTACTAGGAAGACGAAGAGAGCATCACACACTCACACATCCAACCAGCAACACAATTTCAAACTCTCGAAAAAAAAAGACATGCTCGTTACTCTCTATGTACACCATCGCATCCCACCTCCCTTACATTCATCCCCTCACATCCCTTACTTACCTAGCTAGTACAACAGCACAGCCGCCAAAGCCACACCCAGCACCATCGTCCCAACACCACCAGCTCCAGCTCCAGCTCCAACGCGTCCCGCACCATTCGTCTGCGTCGGCTTCGCGGCATCGCCCGTCGCCGAGCCATTCGCCTGCGCGGTAGCAGCAGACCCCACATTCTGGATAGCCACACCGGAAACCCCCGTCCCGTTCTTGCACTGGTCATCCGAAAGCAGTTTTGCAGTCGAGTTGAAAATGATGTCTGCGCACTACGTAGGTAGTTGTATCTCGTTAGCATCTGCACGTGTGAAGGATATGCAATTGAGAAGATGACTCGCAATATATAGAAAAAAAAAACTTTCAACTGAGACGATACTTAAGTAACAAAAGGGAGGAGGAGGAGGAGGAGGAGGGAAATTACGAACATTATACAGTGCACTCCCCGAGTGCCCCAGCTGAATCACCTGCACACTTGCCATGAGCCCGTTGATGCGCTCGTCGTCTGCACCCGTGTACCCGGCGTCCTTGAAGCCTTGGTCGAGGTTTGCGCGCCCGGTTTCCGAGAGGCAAAAGGTGCCGGCGCCCGTTTGGTTGAACAGGGGGACGAGCGAGATGTTGAAGTTTGTGGCGTTTGCGCCGAGCGCCAGGTTGATGGCTGTGAGGGCCGATGGGTGCGAGCCGTTGATTAGGGTGCTGCCGGAGGTGGGGGGCCAGACGGTGCCTTTTAGAGGGGGGTGGTTAGTTATAGTTTTGGCAGTGTTTGGATGGGTGGAAGGGGGATGGAAGAGGGAATGGAGTAAGTAGAGGCGTACGATTCGCAATATCCGTTGTTTCATTCACATTTGCACACGGGTAGATCCATTGGCTGGCTGGTGCTTCCAAGGAGCTGCCGCGCCAGTAGGGCTCCAGAAGGTGGAAATGGGCGGTTGTGCTTGCGGCGAAGAGGGAGGCTGCGAGCAAGTGTTTTTGCTGCATTTTGGGGTATGTCGGTGAAAGGAGATGGTAAGGAAGTTAGTAAGTAGGGAGGTAGGTAGGTAAGTATTCTGAGATGTATGTGTATGTTTGAATGAACAAGAGGAGGAAGAAAAGTTGCACGGGGTATATGGGGAGGGGGATATATCGAAGTAGTAGCTGTCAATCACAACTTACCATCAACAAGCTGCGTTTCCCCTTCACCCTCTCACCCTTTATATACATTGTCCATCCTCCCACTCCGCAACCCAACTCAATCCTTCCTATCCCTTCTCCCCCCCAAACCAGCCAATCCGCTCGCCCCCCTCCCTCCACCGCCAAGCAACTCTACCTGACAGCTCCTCTACCCACAGCATCCCGCACACCAGACCAGCCAATTACTCCGCGCGCAGCACCACCGACACCACGCCTTCTCTCCAGCCATGCCTTACTCGCCGGATACTATACCGGCGTGTGGCGTGCGCTTAGGCACGCTCTGCGTGTTCGCCCTACGTCCATGGAAGAGAGAGCGGGATACAGCTGCGGGATAATGTGCTCAAGTGAGCAAGTTTTGGGGCTTGGCGGCCGAAGCCACTGCGGTCTGGGCATGTCATGTCGCCTTTTGTAGTAACTATGAGTTGGAGAGGGAAATATTGTGTCTGTGTGCGAGAGGGGAGATATTAATTAGTCGGTTTAAACGTTGAGAGTGCTGCTGGGTGGATTGTAGATTGATTACGGGTTTACAAGGGTGAATTGGAGGGGGCGGAGCAAATGCGTGGTGGGGCGGAGGCCGGATTGAGAGATACTTACTTACTTGGGGCTTGGCGAGCGCATCCCCTCGATTATAGAGAGATGTCCACGTCTACTTCGGGTGGTAAAATGGGTAGTAATATTTGCGCTGAAAAGAAAAAACAGGAAGCGAAGAATGCAATTCCCAAGATTCATATGGCAAAAAAAAAAGCTCATTGGATTACCTGCAGTAACCCCACTTCCTTGAACCATCGTACTCTGTTTGGAGGGGAACAAGGAGCATGTACGTACGTACCCGCTAACCCAATAAGTCCCAAGTAGTGCCACCCCCAACCAACCAGCGACTAATCCCATCCCATTATCATCACGGCACCATGTTTTCTCACCAAAAAAAAAGATATGAGCATGATAACTCTCGTCTGCGGCTTCAAATTCCCCGTCTCCATATTCGACAACTTGCTCAGCGCAAACAGGCTTCCCACTATTGGCGGGGGCTATCAGCCCTGTCCGCAAGAGGCAGAAGCCATCGCTAGACTGTTCCGTGAAGATTGGAATCCGTTGCCTGAGTGCTGATATATGGGTCGCTGGGGAGCTTGCAAGAGGTGAGGGAGCTGGGTGTTCTTGTGTCCCTTTGGGAACAGCGTGGTGATGAAGACGTTGCTGATATTAGCCATGGGGGTTGGTCACGACGATTTTTTTTACCGTACCACGTCGTTATATAACAAGGGTATCAGTGCCGTCAATTACAAAGGATGCTCGGAATAATAGTTTAGACATGCGATGGCAACTACAAAGAGCAATAACAAAACTATATATATAATTTTATTTGTACAACATCTGTGCAAAAGCAAGATATACAATATCTGCAACACATGTACTCTTGAATATTATTAACTACTAGCCCCTTCGCACCTAGTCTTACACGTACCTATACCTTCCTCAATATTCCTGTAGCTAAACAGCGTAATTGATATCACGTCGTGCCTAGACTCTGCCATTTGGCCATATCATCTATAGATTTTACGAATCCCCAGATCATCATGTTCTCTGAAGCCGCAGCCCTGAGACTGGGGTCTACGGTGAACGCAGGTGTAGGCGCTGTACCCGGCGTCTACCGGTTTCTTCTAAATACCAGCGGCTGCTGGTGTTGGTATGGCTCCGTAGAGCTTTGCGGAAACGCATTCAAGGCCGCGGCCAAGGTAGCAGGGGGCGCGGGGCCAGGCTGTTTGTCGGGTGACGAGGATTGCTGGGCTGTTGATTGCTGGGTTAATGTCTTACTTTGCTGAGTCGATGTGGTTTCGATGGTGGTTCCAGAGTGTAGAAGCTATTAGTTGTCTGAACGATAGTATCTTCCATCGTCAGACGACCAAGTACCGTCGGGAGCTTGGAAAGGCTTGCTGAGACTTTACGCGTGCATACGCTAGCTTTCAGTCGAGAGGCAGGTATAGATAACATCAAACTGACATAATCCGACGTGTTAGATTGGATACCGCAGGGATGACTGATGACGAATAAGATTATTGCGGAGTGGCAGTATGGACGCTCTAATCTATAGGGCATGGGTGGCCGCCACTAGCCGCCAAGCCGAGGGGCCATAGCAAGCATGGAGCTGGAGTGCTGGACGACTGTGCCACTTGCTGGCCAAAGTATTATTCGAAACGGAAATGTCCTGGGCGTGACTGAGCAGTTTCTTGTTGGAATCCATAACATTGCTATCTCATGCCTCAAAGTTAGAAAAAAAAAACCTTTACTTACTAGTTATTTCAAAACAGACTCAACAAGTATCACTTTATTTTGTCTTCTCCTCATCGCTAGGCTAGGCTAGTACATATGTCAAGGCTCTACTTAGCAATTTACCAAGCTATACTTAATTCTGCTTCTTCATTTATGGTCACATTTGACTCACCTGAGAATCACATTTGACACCATTGATAAATAAATTGCAGCGGTATGTATAGTTCCTATGTATAATTCCTAGCCTAGAACGTAGAAATTCATCTTCTCTTCGAATAACAATTGAGACTTGCAATTCAAACAAAAAAAATGCGGAACACGACGTGTGCTCAAGTACAACAGGAGTCTATTACACTTGCAGACATGGAAATGTAAAAGGCGTAAAACATGACAGAAAAAAAAGGGGGGTATATCATACAAGCATGAAAGCATGCAATGAGTAAAGAAAAAGGAAGAAGGAAATTTTGTCGAAACGCCCAAACAACCTGCAATGCAGACACGGAACCCAGAAATCAGAACATGCTACTCTTCTTTTTCTTGAGCTTCTCCGCACTCGACTCGCTCTGGGTCCGGAGACCCCAGAAACTCTTTTTGGCCTTGGCTACAGGCTTGGGGAGACCGTTGCTGAAGAAACTACTCTGGCTTGCTGCTGCTGGTCGTTGTTGTTGTGGTACTTGTAGATAAGGAGCCTGCACTTGCACGCGCTGAGGCTGCATAGGAACAGGTGCGGGGCGAGCTGCTGGACTAGGTCGCGGGCTCGGCCGTCCACCTGATGCGAATTGGACAGATTGGCGTTGGGGCTGCGCAGTGGGGCGGTAGAGGCCTGATTGATCGCCAAACTGTTTCTTGAGATGCTCCGTCTCCTTGTCAATCTCTGCCTGCTTTTTCTGTCGCTCCCTCGCCTCTCGCTCTTTCTGCTTTCGCTCTTGGTCAAGGAATTGTTTAGTCTTGCGCTCTTCCTCTTCCTCTCTCCTCTGACGCGCCCTGCGACTGGCCTCGGCTTGTTGTTTTTGCTCAGCCTCGACCTGAGCTTTGAGACGAGCAGTTTCGGCATCAATCTGCCACTGTGCTCGCGGGTCCAGCCTTGGTCCAGGTTGTCGCTGCTGTGTGGGTCGTTGCTGTACAGGGCGCTGCTGCTGCTGTGCGGGGCGCTGCATCGGGCGCTGCTGGGCAGGTTGCTGTGGGGGTTCATATAGTTGTGAGAGGCGATTTGGATTGTTTTGGCCAGTCACAAGTGGTGGAAGTGAGGCACGCTTTGCAGCATTGTTGCTGGCGTATGAGGGTGGCCGTGTGTGGGAGCTTGAACTGGGACCTCCATTGTTCTGAAGTGGCGCCTTCTCAGCTGGAATCTGTGTCTTTGGCGGGGTGTAGGCTGGCGGTGGCGGGGGTTCTGGAGTCATGACTGGTTTGGTGACATTTGGCCCTTCTAACGGAGACGAGCCTTTTCTTGTGCGAAGCCCTCCACCGTTCTTACGTGCATTGCCGTCAATGTGGAATTGTTCGCTCAGGTCGCCAAAGAACAAATCGCGTATGACGGCTGCGCCCAGGAGCAGTGTCACTTCCAGGCCCTTGTAGTCCTCAATCTCCACACGGTACAGATGCGGCTCCATGACGGTCAGCTCCTTGAGGCCCGAGAACATGGCGACGGCAATGTCGCCTTCCTTTGACTTTTTCGCCTTTCTGCCCGTGGGGTCGGTTGACTTGCCTACCATGTAGCACGTCATGTCCTTGCCCAGCCTGCCCTCCTTGCGCCACTGAAAATTGACCCTGGGCGTGTTGACATCGGCACCGGGGTCTGTCCTGGTGCGGTCGAGGTGGGAGCTGCTTGGGGTGCGAAACGTCACCTCGGGCAGGCTGAACTCCCAGGTGATACTGCTGCTCCACTTGGACGTCGACTGCGAGACGATGACGCGCGAGTCGGGGTTGTACAGCTGGATGGCGAACTCGGTGGGGTAGATGGGCATGGGCGGCGGCGGGACTCCGCCATTCTTGCGGATCTCGTCCTGAGAGAGCGTCGGCAGCGACCATCCGGGTTTGGCCATGACCTCGCCAAAGAGGACGTCGGGGTTGCGCGAATCAAACAAGGCTACCGCATAGGTGTTTTTGGCCGTGGGCGAGGCTGGGTCGACGTGGCGGAGGGCATACTGGGCCTCTGGCTCGGAGCCGTGCTGGGTAAAGTAGAAGGATTCATGGTGTTTGATCTTCTCGGTCGAGGGCTTGAGGAAAAAGGCTGGGCAGTGTGAGGAGGGGGGCATCAGCGGGGGGGCGGGTGGATAGACGTACTGGGGAGGTTTTCGTCGAGCATGGCGTCATGCCAGTGCGGGGGGTTCTCTGTGTCGTTTAGCAGTCAATGGACGTGAGCACCCAGCAAGGCGGATGCGAGGAACTGGTAGACAAGGGCTCAGCAGCTGGCGGCGTGGTGGGAGGAGGTTATGGGCGCATTCTATACGCGTACACGATGAGGCTGTACGGGCACATCCCTGCACGTGCGCCGGGAGCCGTCGGCCAATGACGAGGCCGGGCCCCACTCCGCCCGCACGGGCTATTCATAGAATCCATGTGCGCCCTCGCGAACTGGCCCCAATCGCCTTGACCGCGCTGCTTTTCTTCTTCCTATTGCATTGCCCGCCCCTCCCGCCCATCTATCCAGCGCCCCAAACCCATCATCCTGCATCGCCCATATGCTCCTGCAACCCCCCCAGAGTCGCTTCGTGCCGCCGCGACCCAGCTTGCGCAATGTCCCGTCGCACTCTGTTTCAGCACGGCCCGCAGCACAGCCGACCTCCACCCTTCCAAGCCTCCACCGTCCTTCTTCCCATTCCGGACTTTTTCACGAGGCAGACTTCATCATCCACTCCACTACTCGCGCTCGCTTACGTGGCTTTGCTCCGTATCCTACTGCTGCTACCCCGCCCGTCAGACTGTAGCCGTCTGTGCTGGTACTCTTGGTAGACTTGGACCGCGTCTTGTGAGGCTTGACCCAGAGATGCTCCAATGACATGGGGCCAGCCACAACCAGCCTACGCGTCTGCTTCGCATGTACTGTCATGGTTTGCTCACACGTCACGTCATGCATTCGTCTACACCGGGTTTCGATTACGCCGGTAAGCTGCCAAGCAGGACATTGTTCTATATCAATCCTCTGTTCGGTTCATCCGCACGGCCTCTGCGGCTTCCGGACTCCCACATGCATCTTACCGCTATTTATCTACAGTTGTGTTGACAACACGCCAACGGCCACTGTTTATACACTACTTTGAGCATCAGGCCACGCACCGTCAGCTGAATCCCGCTAAAATAGTCTAGTCTTGGGTCGCTAACCAACCTCCTTCGAAAAAAAAGCACCGACCTTGGCCTTAGTCTCATGTACCTCGGTGGTGTCCACGTCGAACGCAACCAAAACAGCCAATTACTCGACTGTCTCACCCACCTTCTTTTGTAGCAACTACGGCAGGGTCATTCGCGTCTGCAAAATTTGTTTCCTTTTGCTCAGGCCCCAGGTTTGGCTGCGAATAATACTCAAACTGATTTGCCTTGTTGAGTCGTCAGATGGAAAACCCCTCAATGATTTTTGCTTTTGGCTAACACAACGCTGTATGTTTGGTTTCACCTTGAGCGCAACCAGCCTCTGACGCGTGGCTCTTAAATCTAGCCGCCACCGACGCCTACACGTGTTTCAACAATCATGTGAATACACCATGATTCAGAGCAAACACAGCTCTTGCGCCATGGCTAATCCAACTCAGCCCAGTGTTAGCTATGCACCAAAAGAACAACCCCAACAACGCAATAAACAAATCTACCAACCTCACCCCTTTGTCATAACACCCCCACCGTTACTCCCAACCACCTGCCCAGTAATCCACCCCGCCTCCTGCATGCAAAGCAACCCCACAATCCCCGCCACCTCCAGATACGCCGGCCTCCCACCTAATTCCCTCGCCATCTTCACCGTTTCTTCGTCATCTACTCCTTCTCTCGTCTCGGCCAACGGTGCCATATAATTCAGTGACCACACCTTTTCCAGCATCTCCTTGGGCAGACTCGTATACATTTCCGTCGCCATAGCCCCGGGGTTGATCGAATTAACCGTACACCGCTCAGCGAGCTCGCACGCCCACACACGGGTCATGGCTTCAAGCGCCCCCTTGGTCCCTGCGTAGGATGACTGCCACCAGAATCCCATTGAAGTCGTGATGCTGGATACATTGATGACACGGCCCGAGCGGTCGTGCGGGAGATATGGGAGCGCGGCTTGTAAGACGAAGAGCGGAGCACGGGTATTGAGTTGGAATGTCTGCTCAAAGTCTGAAAGCGTAATGGCACCCATGGGAGCGGGATTCACGACACCAGCATTGTTGATTAGAATGTCGATTTGAAACTTGCCATCTGCTTTCGAGAAAGCGGACTTGGTGGCCGCTACGAGGTTGGCTGGGCCGTCGGGGTGCGTAATGTCGATTTTGGCGATTAGAGTCTTGACCGAGTGCTGGGCTTCGAGGTCTGCGGCGAGTGCTTCGGCCAGAGGTGTAGATGTCGAGGAGATATAGTTTATGACAATGTTGGCGCCTTTGGAGGCGAGATGCCGTGCGAGTGCAGCACCGAGACCGCGCGAGGACCCGGTTATGATGGCTAGCTTGTTCTCCAGGGGGCGGGACATGATGTGAGTGATTGAATTCTGAACCAGCTATTGTCTACTAGCACTCGTTAACAAGATCATGTTGGGGTTTTACTCATCCCACTCTTTGCTTGCCTACCGAGCGTCTACAAGAATCCCGTCATGCACACACATCACAATCCTTCATACTCGTCTTGGCACTGCTGATCATCCCAGGTGTGAATGCCAACAAACCGTGCATAGCATCCAGCGGCTCGGTAGCACACAGAGCCCTAGTCTTTGTCTGTGTTAAATTGTATAACAGACAGGGGTGGTGATCCTTTTCACCCCCATGGAGCGACGAACCGCTCTAGATACGTACTAGAGCTACCGCGCCTCATGGCTAAGTAAACTACCCATGTCACTATAGCATTAGTAGAACCCTTCTCGCGATAACGCACCTTGCAAAGGACCACACAGCATTGCACAAGACCATCCATTTCCTTTGTGAAAAACCACACATACTCCAAACACTCTCCCCCTTTTTATCCTTTCAACCCAACCAATCAATCACCATGCGGCTTGAATCCCGAGTCGCCATCGTCACCGGCTCCTCCCAAGGCATCGGCCGCGAAATCTGCTACCAATTCTTCAAAGAAGGCGCCCTACTCGTCTGCGCCGATCTCAGACCCCTCGGCAGAAACGAGCAAGTCCCCACGCACGAATGGATCGCAAACCAAGGCGGAACCGCCATCTTCGTCGAGGCGGACGTGACCAAAGCCGAATGCTGGGAAGCGCTCGTCCGCAAGGCTGTCGAAGCCCACGGACGACTCGACATGTACGTATGCTATACCGAGACTCGTTCGGTATACCAGTTTGCTCCACCCCCTTCCCCCCTGGGTATATATGAGCCCTGAGTATATAGGGTGTTGACTGAATCATGCAAAAGCGTCGTCAACAACGCCGGCATCTGCGCCGAAGCCAGCAACCCGCAGCCCATCGACGCCTTCGACGAAGCCGTCTTCGATACCGCCATGGCCGTCAACGCGCGCGGCGTCTTCCTCGGCTGCAAGTACAGCGTGCGGCAGTTTAAACAGCAGGAGCCGCGCGCCGATGGCATGTGTGGATGGATTGTCAATCTCGCTTCCATGGTATCCAGCATTGGGATGCAGGGACTTGGTATGTTTCAGGTCAATGTTCCTTTTTGGTCCGGATTTCCCGGGAACGGGGTCATTATTCTCTATGGGAGAGTGGGATAAGAAAACTGATATCGTGCTTTTCTATGTAGCTGGGTACACGGCGTCCAAGGGTGCGGTGGCTGCCATGACGCGTACCGTTGCGCTGGATGTGGCGAAGCAGGGTATTGTGGTGAATTGCATTGCTCCCGGATGTAAGTCTCCCCCCCTTTTATTCGTCTTTCACTGGTCACCGCGTTCCTAGTACTGATGGTGTTGGTGACCCAGTTTCCCAAACGGCCATGCTCGACGACGCACTCGGCGGCGCGCTCTCTTCAGCCGCTGAAGCAGTCAAGGCATCGATTCCCCGCGGTATCTTTGGCTATCCGCGCGATCACGCAAGGGCGGCTGTGTATCTTGCTAGCGACGATGCGCAGTGGATCACGGGGCAGACGCTCAACGTAGACGGGGGTCTGACTGCGCAGTAGTGCAGCCATTCACGAGTACCTTTCTTCTTTTCCTTCTTTTTCTCGCCCGGCGAAATGCACATCTTTGCTCGTTACAATGCACCTTCTGCGTGTCATATCTATCCGGATTCAACGACAAGCATGGGGGATATTGGCGTAGGTCCCTGACTTGGTCAGTTTGTATCCTTGGCATGTGCTTGATAGGACGGCACTGCTTTTAATCTGCCGGCGAGGCGAGGTATACCTACGTGCCGATGCAAGCATGTATGGAGGATTTCTGCACCCCGTTACGCTCTGCTGCATGCGTGCATCCCGCTTTTCCTATGCTCCGCGGCGTGGGGCGGCCGTTGGGGCTACGGCTACGGCAATTCTAAGCGAGCGTGGGATGGAGAGGAGTGAGTTCATACATACTAGGTATGCCATTTTGACCAAGGGAAAATGTTGAGTAGGGTACCTGGCGGCATGTTTACCAATGGAGATTACATGGATGCTCGTGGGGCAACGCCAGCTACATAACACATTTGTAGTTGGACACGGAAGCGCAATCCCTCGCATCTCCATCCAACAAACCACGCCGTACCCCTCGACATGGGCACGCTGCAACTGCCGACCCCGGACACACCTGGTCGCCCGCGCGACGTCGCAAACCGGGAGTCCAGGCGTTCTTGGATACCTGATGCAAGCCGCCCATTTGAGCAGTCTCGCGCTCCTTGATCTGGTGGCCCCCTTGAGCGGCGCCCCTCCTCGGAACCACCTCCACTGGATCGTGTCATGGTGTTCCATGAGTCTTCTGTCGAGGCGATGACGCCGAATGCGCTCCGAGAGTGCGTGTTAAGCTGTCTTGTCGAATATAACCCGCGCGGGAGGGTAATAAGAGAGAAGGGGGGGGTCTGTTCGGACGGGGCGTGGTTGCTTGCGGAGCAGTCGGGTTTGAATGCATTTGTCGTCTGCGAAAAAAAAAATCTTTACATGAACGAACAATTCAATTACCAAATTGTAAACGGACATTCTTTTGAGCTTCCATGGCGGGTCCGACGTCGCCCTCTCTAGCCTTGGCCGTCCTGGTTCTCCTCCCCTTCGACATCCTCACGTGGATCCTGCGTTTCCACGTGCGCATATCCAGAAAGGCATGGGGCCCTGACGACTGGTCCATGTCGGTTGCGATAGTAAGTCCCCATTACGGATCCGGCTTTTTTTCGATGGAGAGAAGAAAAAATTGACTAACGATTCTCCAGCCGCTCTTCACAATTTCTACCATCGGAATGCTAGGCATCGCCTTCACGGGCGGCGGCAAAAGAGATGCTGAATTGAGTCCATCAGACCGCGAAACCGCAATGTTTGCAAGTTTCTTTCCCTCGGGTTTTCCCACAGCAAGTCTGACTGACTGACTGATTGACGCCAGTGGTGGTTCGTCATGCAAACCATGTTTTGCCTCGCTGCAATCCCCGTCAAATGGGCCATCTGCTTCACGCTTCTCCGCATCGCAGGTGACAAAAAGGCGTATCGATGGTCCATCTACGTCGTCATGGCCGCCGTAGCCATCGTAATGGCGTCAACCACCATCTACGAGTTCTTTCACTGCACGCCCATCGCGATGAACTGGCGGGCCGCGCCAGGCGGGACTTGCAAAGCCCAAAGTAACATTACGGGCTTCAGCTTTGCGCTATCAGCAGTCTCTATATTCTCCGACTGGTTCTGCGCCATCCTGTACGTGCACCTGCTCAACCGGCACTCCTTACTTTCCACTAACCATACTGCCATTCCGATCCCGCTACTCTGGAACGTTCAAATCGAAGTCCGCGTCAAGCTCTCCATCATCACGCTCCTCGGACTCGGCATCTTCGCGTCCACAGCAGCCATCGTGCGTCTGACCGTGACGCTGAATCTCAGCTCCACCACCGACTTCCTGTACCACGCCATGCCCGTTGCCGCATGGGCGCACGCAGAGCTCGGGTTAGGCGTCATACTCGCCAATCTATCTGCGCTGCGCCCGCTGCTCGAAAAGCTGCTCGATCTACGCTCGACGCTGCGCAGCAGCAACAAGAAGCGCAGTGTATCCGCGTCGGGCGACCGCTACATCGAGCTGGAAGAAGGCCGTCAACGGAAATCGGAGAAAGGAGTGTCCAAGAGACTCAGTACGAGTAGGACGCGTGAGGTTTCAGGTTGGTCCAGTAATGGGCCTACCTCCCCTCTTTTCGACGATGCGGCTTCGACGACTAATGTCGTTGCTGGTGGTGCTGGAAACAGCGCTCGCGGTATACAAGTGAATCGCGAATTCGACATTACGTATGAACATGCGGAGAAGCAGTGACGCGAGTTAATTCTTCGTTTCCTTCAAGCATACATATACTGTTTCTTCTTCTTTTTTTTCCATTCATGTGTGTGTGTGTGTGGTTTGTAGAAACATTAGTTCCACTTTGTTTTTTTTATAACTTGACACTAGATAAATTTCATTCCTGATAGAGCCCATCCATTTAGAGGATATATTTTCTTTTGGGGATGGAATTATACATATATACTTGGACCAAATACACATTTTTCCCACATACATACCGCATTGGTTCATCCTCATTCGCCACCTCTGATACCCCAAACGCCCAAACGCACAGCATAGAAAGAGAAAACCCCCCCCCACCCAAGTCTACATACATATTTTCACAACACTACCATATCTCTCTGATACAACCACAACCGACAGGGCCCAGAATGCCCTGCACACCGCTTTCAACCCCCCATCATATGTACCAAACCCAAGTTCCTGGCCCCCCCCCCCCAAAACCCTCGATCTACACTGAATCCCCCTCATTAATTCCAGAATCCCAACCAACACCTCGCCACGAACCTCGCTCCGACAAACCATATCCTAAATGCGCGCAATGCACAACCACCTGACTCCAGGTCTTGTCGCAGGTATATTACGTAGAGCGGGATGGTTCCGCGGAGTAACAGACATAGACGTAGGGTTGGGCTAGTTGATTAAGTAAAGATCCAGGACGAATGATAATGATGGAGTCTAGGGAATGTTGCTTTGATTGGTGTGCTGTACACTATGGAGATGTGCTGGGAGTATGTATTGCGGTATCCCGGTTCTTACGCGTAAGTATGCGTGTGATGTAGCATCTAGATTGTGCATGCGCGAGTTGATCACCACAAGGCTACTACTGTTTAACATTGTGACGGTCCAGGCGCCATGAGAAGTACCATTCCGTACATAGGAATAGCGAATCAAGCGGCAGACACAGTGATTTCCGGTGCTGATGCAATACGAGGCGCTTATCTTAGTATAAAACTCGAAAATCACAATTCATATTCAATGAATTAGATTGTAAAATACACCAAACGCCAAAGTACCCCAGAAACGCCGCCCAATCTAACCCGCTGAATCCGAAAATAAAGTATCTCAAGTATGTCTTGTTTCATAGTACACATGGCCGCATCATGATCAATTTCACCTCCTCACTACTTAGCTCAAAGTGCCTTGGCGGTGGAGCTCCGTACCCGCCGGAGCACTGCCAACCTGGTCAATGAGCTTTTGTTCCTCAGCTCGAGCCTTTAGCTCATCGTCAAGCCCCGTATTCCTTGTGCGCATCGGGCTCGTAGCATCAACTGCGCTATCGTCGACATCGAGTTCCTTCTCCTTGCGCCTCATGGTGGCCATGCTAGTGACGCTTGCGTCGTCGCCGTTTTTCTTGCGCTCGCCCTCGCCGTTGTGGACTTCGATTGTGACATCGGTGTTGTCCTTGCTAAATACTCGCAGGCCAACGACGCAGACTGCATTCCAAGGATCGCGCTCAAATTCGTCTTCTTCGTCGATATAGGGGTAGCGGTTGCCGTTGTACCACACATACTTGGGCTTCTGCTCAGAGAAAGTATGTGGCAGGTCGTCGTCACCGTCACAGACATCAGAGTCAAGCGAGCAAGGGCCATCAATCTCAGAGTCCCAGGATGAATCGTCGGAAATGTCGTGAAATTCAAAGCCGTCTTGGGCGCGATGGGAGCAATCGCTTGCACTTCGTCCAGGCGTGACATGAATGCCAGGTCGAATACCAGGGATGGGTGTAAGAGTTGAGCGCCGCGATGGTGCTGGAGAGAGCCGTTCGGGGCGCTGTGATGATACCCCTGGTTGGAACTCATCTGCCAGCGGCGTTGGGGCGGGCGTAGGCAAAGGCGTCGGGATAGGGGAATCTGTCAGTTGCGCCTCATTGTACCCGCCACGGCCTTGGAGTTCTCCTGGCATGTTCTGGTTGTATCCACCTCTGCCCTGCAGCTCTCCAGGCATGTTTTGATTGTAACCTCCTCTCCCTTGAAATTCTCCTGGCATATTTTGGTTGTAACCTCCCCTTCCTTGGAACTCCCCTGGCATGTTCTGATTGTACCCCCCTCGGCCTTGAAAGCCCTGACTGTGGGCAGCAGGTGATGCTTGTGGAGTAAAGTTGTAGCCACCTCGCCCTTGGAACGCCATCGACTCAGTCATGTCAGAGGCAGAGCTGTCGCGGTGGAAGCTACGGCGACTAGGTAGGGCACCAGGTGGAGTAGCATTGTAGCCATCTCTGCCCTTGTTATATCCACCTCGGCCACCAAATCCTCCACCAGGACTGGGTGATCGCTCACCAATGGTACCGGTGCTGGATGCACGGTGATGTCTAGTGACGACCTGGTGCATGGGCCTTGGTTCATCGTCTCCAGAGGTCCTAGTTTCTTCTTCGACGTTGATGCCAAGTCCAGGAAGATCTCGCAGCTTCCTCTCGACTTCTTGAATGTCTCTGGAAGGATTAAGTCTACGCGTCTCTTTGGCGGCCTTCTTCTGGTCGCGGAGTTCGGCTCGCTTGCGCCTCATCTTCCGGCGTTCGTGTGATCGCTTCATCTCGGCCTTCTTGTGCTCAATGCGCTGCTCCTTCTCACGCGCCAAGGCATCCTTTTCTTGCTCTCTGAATTGACCTTTGGCATGAGCCAGATCATACGATAGTCCGATAGAGAGAAGCTTTTCTCGGCGCTTGTTGCAGGTTGCCCTGATGACTTCGTCCGGTCTTGGGTTTTCAGGAATCCTGGTAGCCTTGATCTTTAGCAAGACGGTGTAGTTGCCAGCTTCCAGCTCAAGTTCTGTAGAGACGGAGCGCTTCATGTAGTATGTGCCGTTACTGCGGACGATATACTCTTCCTCATCGTCTTTGTGGAGACGAAATTGTAGGTTGAACTCGTACTGCCCTTCGAGACCCTGGTAGTAGCGGTCGTCCAACTGACTGAGTACGATTACTACGGGTCCACCCTTGGCGAGATGGATCTTGAACTTAGTGTCGAGGTAGTCGACGCTCCATGGGACATTGACGCTCGTCCACTGCTGTGAAACTGTCCACTCCGGACCAAAGAGCCTGGTGCGATCAAAATGTTGGTAGGTGCGTAATAGGTCCTTGTATGAGATCCAGAATACACCATCGTCACCGAATTTGTGGTTGAGCTTCTGCATCCACTCAGGAGTCCATTCTTCTGAGCCATCGCTCCAAGGTCCGGTCCATTCAGCTCGGCCCCAGGGGTTGCGTAGCTTGAGCAAGCGCTGGCCATCTATTTCACGAGCTTCCATGACCGAGTATGCATGCTTCTCCTGGATGCCTTTGCGTGAGCCGTAAATGCCGCCCATCTGGCCACATCCAAAAAGAAACGTCTTGTTGACATTCATCAGCTCCTCTCGCCAGAACTGGTCCTTGTCTAGGATATCGGTGGCGAAAATTTCCGAGGTAACACCTCCAGTAAGGTCCTCGATACCCTCGCCTACAAATCCACCATCTATGGCGCTGTAGTCTCCATGGGCTTTGGCAAAGGCCTTTTCAAGCAGTGGAAGCCATGTCTCGTTGGGGTCGCTGCACTGGGCAAAGTAAAGAGCCCTTGAGCCAGTCTGCATGACGGTGCGATATTCGTCCTCGGGGCTCTTGCGGTTTTGCAGCTCCAACCAGTGGTAGCGCTCTAGCTTTGCTTCGTCAAAGTTCTCCTTGATGAGGTACAACTTGTCGTCGATGACTTCTGAGATCCACTCGCCATCTGTACGGCATTAGTGGATATGCAAAACCCGGCTGTGGTGGGTGCTTACCTCGGTGGAAGACGAAGCCGTATACACCAACCTTTTCGTCGCGAGCGACGCAAACTCGTTGGATCAATCCTTCCTTGTTCGATATGGTCGCCAATGCCGACATGAACCAGCAGTCGCCATCGTTTCCCTGACGTACATCGTTTGCCGATGGGCCCTCGATGAAGAATCGCGGGTTGTCAAAGATGTCCTAGAGCAATCAGCAACTGCGCTCAAAAGCGTGCCGTCACACCCACCTCTACTCTCTTGACTGATTGCGGATGGAAATCAGTCTTTTCTTCGTTCAGTCCAGTCAAACAATCGGCTGGTGTATCGGGAAAGGCCTGTGACCGCTTAAAGTCTGACTCAATGTCGAAGTGTGGATCTCGGTATTTTTGGTTTAGTCTGCGGCACTCTTTGACAATCTTTGCGACCTTTCTGATGCAGGCCTCCTTGGCCTCTTCGTAGGATGCAAGTGCGTTAACTCCGGGGATGGATCCCTTCGGCGCATGTGCGGCGGCGCTTTTCGCGTACAGATTGTCAGGTAGGATGGTGAAGATCTTGCCAGGGTGCTTTGTGGTAAACTTGTTCCAGAAGTCGTCGATGCTTTTCTGCGGCGCTTGTTTCCGGCCAGGTAGCCGCGGGCGCGGCGAGTGTGCTGGCGCCTCCTGTATCATGCTGGGCGCGCGCGAATGTGGCGTGGTGATGTTGATGAAGTCGTTGTGCGTGCCATTCGATGCCATTGTTAATTCAGGACTTGATGGCGATGGCTCGGGGGCTGGCTGCACTTGCTGAGGCGTCTGGAGTCCATCGGGGGCTGGGAGCTGGATTATAAAGATTTGGAGGTGGGTAATGGCTTTCAGCCCCCAAACAGAGCATCACAAGCTGCCATGCATAGTGAGGTATTCTAAGAGCTCGTCAGAAAACAAGTGGGGCAGTCCAGACACCAGGGCGTTGCTGGGCGCAGCCGCTGGAACCCCTCCCGCTTCCAAGCCACTGCGAATCAGCTGCATGCGGCGCCCCCGAATAGATGCAGCAGCAGTCCTCGTTTGTGACAGCGGGCTGAGAGGGAGGTGAGACGGCCATCGGACAAAAGTGCACTGGCCAATGTCTTCAGCCGTACGCAGGAGCTGATGACGCATCAGATGGTGATGTGATGGATGCACTACGGCACGCAAGGTGGTTGTTCGCTGGAGAGCGCCATGTGCACGCTGCCACTTTAGCCTCGGGGCGGAACGCTAACTATCTCTAGTCGACTACGGCGGGGAGCCTGACCGACTCTTGTCCTGTCATATCGTTGCTACACCATGGATTGGCAGTGCGTCCGCGTGGACCGTTCCTTGCGCTGACGCTGTGTCTGTACCTCCGTGACGCATATACGCCTTCATTGGTGTTCAGAGGGTTTGGCGAAATTATCTTTATCGCACCGTTCGCGTGGTGTGCTACTCGCACAGCGGGCCGTGAATGGCTTCGTCGCCTAGCACACAAGGCCGGGAATATCTCCTGAACGCTAATCGGTAGTGCCGGGTAACTGGCAAGCCGTTTCAATAGCAGTCGCCGTCCCGAACCGTAGGAAAAGGTCGCCGAGTGGCCCTCTCGTCCCCGAGCGGTGGGCAGTGTCTCATTCTGTCCATGCTGCTGGAATCCATCACGTCCATGATCCTCCCGCGCGTGCATGGGTGAGAATGCCGAATCGCCCTGTATTTTCCACGACATGGGCCCATGCTGCTCTGAGTATGTAGCGGTAACGGCTCCACCGCACAGCAAGCCAAGGGTCCTCAGTATCGCGGATAGCAGTTGGGATGCATGTCAGCCCTAGTCGTCAGCCCTATGGGCAGCATGCTGCGATCTTTCTGCAAGGTCACCCTCTCACCGTATCTTGGGCCTGTTGAGCCAATCGACGCTGGGCGCTGGGGAAGCATCTGAAATCGCCGCCCATTTCCCTGGAAGCGAGACGAAGCGCAGGGGTCGATTGGAATCCGTGTATTTTCAGATGTGACCCTATGGCATCCAGGGTGGGTTCTTTGCAACGTCCTTGCAGGAGCATGGGCCGGAGCTGACCTTTCGGTAGATCGGCTAGAGGCACACTGCATATCGCCCTTTTTTCATCTCCTGATGCTGCAGGCAAAGCCATGACGTCGGCGAAGTGTGCTTGGCAGTGTAAAAGTAGAGCGTGTGTAGTGCTGGACATGGAAAAGAGCGGTAAACGCCTTGCATGCGTAGTGTGGCAGAGAAGGAGTATCGACGGATTGGGAGATTCAACGTCGTTCTACCGGCGGCTCCGTGGGTGCAGGAGGGGTGCCATGACTGGACGCAACGTGGAGAGCTGAACTGGGACGCCTGACGATGTGGGGTTGGGGCTGTCCAATCACAGCCGAGCAGCGAGCTTTGCACTAGCACGTGACTGGCCTTGTAGTGTCAGGTACAGCTGTTGTGCCTGTCAGCCGCAGAAAATAACTGGCTTCACAGCTTTTATTGGAGCGTAAATATTGGACATGGGAGTCAACAATAGGGTGATTGTCCACAGGAGGTCACGCAGGGTATGCATGACAAAGGAGGAACCGAGAATGTCGAAAAAGAAATGTGAGAAGGATCAAATACGCATTGCCGGTTTTGGGAGATAATAACTGGAGACGCAGCAGCGACATTGGAACTCTTGCCGAGTTAGTGGTTTTAATTGATATGGCCTGATAACGTCTTGTATTGCTCTGCTGAAAGAGCATTATTAGGAGTGTTTTGCACATGGCACTGGTACTTGTATCACATGTCTTTGGCGTGAGCCTCGGGTATCCTGAATGTGTATGTGGAGTTTCTGCAAACACGTCGTCAGAGGCGTCTCTATACGGTGGGGTGGGATACATGTTCTTGGGAACCGACTGCATGCCTTTCCGATAGCCGCAGCCTCTCTGACTTTTCTCAGATTGTTCAGTCTCATCAGATAGCTGACGATGCAAGTACTCCATTACATGAAAGACGCCTACAAGATTACCCTAATAAAAATACCTGGCCATTCAAGGAGTCATGAAAGAATTCAGGGGACTACGTTGTCGATACTAGTCAAGCTCATTAATGGCAGCAATCGTAGCTCTGCAACCCATAACATCACTCACTTTCTCTGCGCTAGATATTCATTCTCTCCATTGGCCAAGCATACTATGGAGACCAGAATTATCCTACCAGCCCACATATAGTACATTCTGAATTTCCAGACCCAGCTTGAACCATTACATCAGGTGGCGACTCTCACTCCCCAAGCGCTTACACTGTCTCTTCCGACCTCCGATCACGCCTAGTTACATCCAGTTACCACGACTATGCATACAAACTGCATCACTCATGTTCCATTAGGTATCTTCCATTTACTGGCCGCACTATCCGACCTAATCGTAACAATCCTAACCCCTCGTTTCGCCCTCTTCCTCTTTGCAATATACGCCTTAACATCCCTTTGCACCTTGCTCAACAGCGCCGCCCTCTTAATCTTCTTTCTAGGCGGCTCTGCATCACAGTCATCTTGCGCCATGCATACCGCTTCAGCACTTGGCAGCTCCGACTGCACGGGTCGCGTGGACTCTGGATCGACGTCCGATGTAAGCTGCGTTAGCTTCCGCTGTACTGGCAGATGCGCATGCTGACCTGGCGCTGTGGGTGTGATACGAGGCTGCGCGACAGCTGTCTGTACTGCAGGTGAGAAAACAGGGGGCTTGTTTCCTTCTTCCAAAGGGCGCTCTTCTTTACCACACAACTCATTCGTCTCAACCTGTGTGCCAGCGTCACCAACGCAGTTCTTCCTTTCTAGCACATCTTCCTCCATATGTACGCCATACGCCCTTTGAAGTTCTCCGTCAAGCATTCTCTTCACTGCCGCTGGCTCAACCTGCATCATCTTACATACAGGAAAGATATGTAGCAAGCTGCAGTTGCTGTGCTAGCGAGCGTAGCAAGGCATTATCCACTTCGTCGCGGTCGGTGGCGGGCAGTTCGAATCGTAAGTACCCGATTAAGGCGTGCTGATCGTCGGTGTCGAGGTTGGCTGCTTTGTATTGCTCAAATGTGTAGTCTGTGATGCCGGGAGGCGGGATTGATTGGCCATGTGTGCGTACTGCGGTTGGGGGTGCGAAGGTAGGTGGGTGAGCGGGAGTGGTGAAGCGGATGTCGTTCAGGCCGTTGAGATGTCTGACGGGTTTGTCTTGCTTTGGTCGTTCTGCAAAAGACACCATTCTTGATTGCAAAATGGCAGAGAAACTAAAGGTGTGGTTTTGGAGTTGTTCATTATATGCAGTACGGATTGAGGCAGAAATCTTCTAGCGTAGGCGAGTTGTTTGAAAGCATCGCTTTTGGACCTTTCATGGCTTGCCATAGAAGCTGATTATATACCCGTCTGAATCCCTGGCCGGTGCAGTTGAGCGCGATATTCTTCAGCCAGTTGGAACTGACCAAGGACTGCAACAATACAAACACTAGGGATGAATGTCGTCTGCTTTGGATGACATTGTTGCAATAGTCATGGATGCTGCCGCAAATCTTTCACAATGCTCTCATTCAGATATCCTGTCCCCTTTCTTCAAAAAAAACAATGTATGATCTCGCTTTCGCCGGTATTGGTATCATTCTGCAGTGACGGCGATGTACACTACCACTCACGACTGAAGCGCAACCTGCGTATGTAGTGATTTATGGTGTCCCAGTCCTGGATATAGTCTAACCATCTGATCTCAGCTCAGATCTCCTAAAGTTACGCGTTGCTACAGCATCGGGGTGTTTGCACAGTCGCCCCTTCCTGTATCAATCCTGCCTCTCACCTCACTCCCCTCACCACCACTTTGGCCTTCGTGTGAGTACAACCACCTCTCATTTCATCCATACCAAGGATATCTGACAACCTCTCAAGACACGACAGCAATATCGTCTGCGACAACGCACAAAGCTGTGAACATTCTCTCTCCTGCACGCCGCGTCCCCGACATGCGCCGCGCTGCACTAAATACTAGTGTCACCACGCAGCCGATCATGCCTCTGTACGAGCGTCTCTATCGAACAAAAACCTGCAACAAGAATTCAGACACTACCTCAGTTGCGCCAAGGCAGAAGATGCCCGCAACCAAGGTATTGGCTCCAAAGACAAGTCCGGACGCTTCAGCGCCTCGAACACCCAAGCTGCTTGCAAAGGCTAGAGCAGATTACGATCAAAATAGCAAGGAAGGATTTAGGAGAACAAAGATTCCGAGACCAACGATTGCCGCATTGAGGCAGGCCAATCTTCGACAAAGAAGCGAGTTTTGGGCAAGGATGCCAAGTGTGATCCATAGACCCAAGACGACGGCCATGCAAGATCTGGACAAGGATTTGACGGATGATGCAAGTTTCAAGAAAGAGTTGGAGTCAGAGTACATGGGTATTGAAGACTCAAGCCTGCATTCAGATGAGCCCACTATGACCGGCGATACCGAAATGGACAGCACTTCGCTCATGTTCAACGACGACAGTTTCGACGAGTCCGTTAGCCCTGACCAGCAAACAAGCATCCTCAAGGTTATGGGACGAAAGCTTGTCGGAACAAAGCGACTGATGTTGGGACTTCGAACTGACAGGGCGCCGTGGTTCATTGGGCTAGCTCGCTCCCCAAAGTATATCGCCGAGTGTGTTGGCATGCCACGTGTGCGTCCTAGAAGCGAAGTAATCGCGAAAGGATATGAGCAAGGTAATTTAATCGGGCCCAGTGAGTTGTGACATGAACTGATGGGCTTCAGATTCACTCGGTACTGATCATGCGTCAAATCTTCCAAAAAGTGACACCATAGCACAGCGACTGCAGCAGCCAGTATCGGCCGCCATGACTAAGCAAACTGCGTGCATCGAAGGACTGAAGGCCACCGGAGCCAAGTCATCAGCAGCAGCAAAGCCTTGCAAAGCGACTACAAAGATTGTCGTTCAGCCTCACGGTGACGAAAAGTCCAAACTCTCAAGGTCAACCAAGTCCAGCGCTCCCCAGATGTTGCCAACCAAGACTCGTACCGCGTCTCTTGCTTGTCATCAGAAGGTTGCAGTGAAGTCAAAACCTGCTCGCAATACGGTCTCTGTTTCGAAGCCACACCCTGTCACCACACGGAAGCCTCCAGCTGATCGATCAGTAAGCACGATAACTTGTCAGAAAGCGGCGATGGACGGATCACATACTGAAAAACCCACTCTACGATCAGCTATGCGTGTATCCAACTCTGCTGTAGCTAAGAAGCAAGTCCAATTCATCGAGGGACCCATCAAGCCACACGTCTACCCCTGTAACAACACTGCCAAGCTGCCAACTTTACCGCTTGCCAGGCTGCTTCGCTCCAAAGTAGTTCCAGCAGATTCCGGGAATGCACAACTATTTGAAGGCACAGGCCAGGGCTGTCTGACACTCAAGCATCGCTTCCTGAATCGCTACGCCAGTGTCCAAGCATACGAAGCACGTCGCCGTGAAGAAGCTCTTGCCAAGGGCGAGCAGCCAGGCTTGGGCCAGCTTGATTATGGCAATGCTGACTTCAAGATTGCTCTCCAAGCGTCAAAGGCCATCGAGGCACACGACATTGGCACGCTGCAAGACCTGAGCACTCTTGGTAAGCTGGGAGCACTCAAGAATGACGGTCAACAGACGGGCATTCGCGTGTGGGTTTTTGGATCTTTCAAGGAGCCTTATCTCCCTGCAGCTATCCCTACTAAGCGCGTTGCGGCCCACAAGAAGCCATTGCGCTGGCCGGTTACGAGATGTGAGCAGAGTTTGGATGCTTTTGTGAAAAGGTCCTTCAAGTGCTTGCAACCGGCTCATGTCGCGACTTGACCTCGAGTAACGAAGGCAATGTAGGTATGTTTTCTAAGATCATGACGGAGCCAATTTGCTAACACCAACTCAAGTGAACTGCAACGAGAAAAAGCGGCAAGGTCGCATATTGAGATCGGTCTGAAGAGATGGCGATGTATATTGTATTTGGGTGCTGATTGGTTTTTGTTATGGTATTTTATTCTTTGCTGCGTCAGTCATGCTAGTTGTGTCACAGGATCGACCCATCAAAACAAAGTTGGGGCATCTTTTTCGGCACAGCGGGGCAAGTGGTGGGACCCCACATATCCGAACGACCATGCTGACGACGTCTGGGGATCGATCTTGGGCCGGCTGCTCTGATTTTTTTTGCGAAAACGAAGTTGAGATGGATGCCGGATGGGCTTGACGGGCGGCCACAACCTTTAGAGGAAACTCACCGAGGATACACCGCGTTGATCTCTGTCCGCCGGCGTCTTAGCCCTGGATCAGTCGACTCAGGTGTGCCGGCGAACCAGTTTTTTTAGGCACTAGTATCCATGTACCGTACTCTGGGGTCTCTGGGGCTTGCATGCCTCATCCAGGATGTGGGAAACACGGCAATCCATCCATCTATCCCACCATTTCAGCATTCCAAGTCTTCGGATTGGGGCCGCCTTGATTGCTGGCACATGCGTCACTCCTACGACATGTGTTTTTCCTGACACGCAAGCCCACTGCTGGCGGCAACTCCGCGCATCTCGATGCCTTTGGCCTTGCAACACTCAGGCACGCCCACGACAGACGGGAGCTCCGCATACAGACGTCGCACGTGTCGCTGCGATTGGCAGACTGTTATCACAGGCGGCTTGGCAGCAGACTCGAAGAGGCAGTTGCCCAGCCATATGCACGGCCACTCCAAGATCCGCCAAGGCCAGCATCGTGAAGACGCCGGAGAAGACCGTCCTGTCGGCAGAATACTTAAACTGATTGCCCGCGAAAATGTCTTTTTTTTCGTGCTCGCGCCAACTGACGATTCCACGCCCAGCTGCCCGAGTCATCCGTGAAGATGAAGCTTGACACTCGTTCAAGTGCGGCTCTGGTCGCCCTCTCAGCATTGACGGCTGTCGCCCATGCAGAAGATGCTCTTTACAGCCAGCGTCTACAGAAGCGTGGACTCGATGCCGACGGAAACTACAACATCTGTAAGTTTATACGCCGTCTTGCAGTGTGGCTATCACTCACATGACCCAGCTTTCTTCCACATCAATGACGTACACGCTCATTTGGACGAATTTAGTTCTTCTGGGACTGACTGCACCCGGCCGGAGCGCGGATGCTACGGAGGTTATGCGCGTGTCAAGACCATTATTGAGGAGCAGCGCCCCAACTACGCGGACAGCCTGTGGTTGAACGCCGGCGATGAGTTTCAGGGCACCTTGTTCTACAGCTACTATGGTGGCGAGAAGATTGCCGAAGTCTTGAACGAACTCAAATTCGATGCGATGACGCTCGGCAACCACGAGTTTGACGGCGGCGATGCGGCGCTTGGAGAGTTTCTCGTCAATCTCACATTTCCCGTCATCAGCGCCAATGTGCACTCGCAGGATGAGAATGTCAACAAGACAGTGAAGCCCTACACGATTTTTGAGAAGCACAACTTGGCCTTGATTGGCGTTACCGCAGAAGAGACAGCTAGTCTCAGTAACTCTGATGTGACAACCGTCTTCTCCAACACGGTTGAGGTACGTATAGCAATTGACAACCGACTGCGATGGCCAGCTACTAATGATTGCAGTCTGTGCAAGGAGCCATTGACAAGATCAAGGCCACTACCAACATCACAAGAATTGCTGCTCTTACTCACATTGGCTATGATAAGGACCAGGAACTTGCTAAATCGACTACTGGTCTCCACCTGATTATTGGCGGTCACAGCCACACCCTGCTTGGTGATATGAAAGACGCCGAGGGCAAGTACCCTACCATTACCAAGAACAAGGATGGCGAAGAAGTTTTCATCGTTACTTCTTACCGCTGGGGCGAGTATGTTGGCTACATCGACGTAACCTACGACCCCGAGGGCAAGATTCTTGCGTACCACGGTGCACCCATCCACCTCACCAACACCACAAAGCAGGACGAGGATCTGCAAAAGGAGATTGAAGCATGGCGCATTCCTTTTGAGGAGTTTGCTGCCGAGGTTCTGGGCACAACCAAGGTCGAGCTCGACCAGACCACTTGCCAGCGCCAGGAATGCTTGCTAGGAGACTTCATGGCCGATGCCATGTTTGCGTACCGAAAGAACCTTACCGAAAATGTCGATTTTGCCCTTATCAACGCCGGCGGCATTCGCGCTACCATCGATCAAGGCGACATCACTCGCGGCGAGGTCCTCACCTCGTTCCCCTTTGGCAACGCCATTGTGCAAGTCGAGATTGACGGAAAGACACTCTGGGAGTCTATCGAAGGCATCTTGACTGGAGTCAACGTAGGCAATGGCAGAGAAGTCACGTCTTTCCTGCAGGTCAGCTCTGGCATCAAGATCGAATACAATCCCGAAAACGGCAACAATACTAAGCTCATCGCCGTGACCATTGGCGACGCGCCCCTGAAAAACGACACAAAGTACCAAATGGTAACGCTCGACTTCATCGCCGGCGGCGGCGACAACTTCTTCGAGCCCACGACCGACTTTGTTACTCTCGACACCCAAGATGAGGTTTTGACCTCGTACATCCAGTCCCAGTCTCCCGTCGACATTAAGCTTGATGGCCGCATTGAGGAGGTTGACCGCCAAAGAGAGGACACTGTTGTCCCTGGAAATAGCACTACCAATGGTACCACCAACGGTACTTCCCCTACGACTGGTGTGCCACCCCAACAGACCCAGAATGCAGCTGCAGCCCTTGGCCAGGGTGCTGTCAGCGCGTTTATCGTCGGCACTGTTGCGGCTCTGTTGATGTTTTGAGCGAATGCCGGGTTCGGACGCTACGTGTAATGTAAAATAATGTCGTAAATATGATCATGTCTAATGTTTTCTACGAGTGTACGTGGCTGCTCATAACTGACCCATGTCTAATTATAGATGTTTTAGATACCAAAATTTCTACAATATTGCTTGTACGCTAGAACATAGTTCTAGATGCTGCAGATCCAATACTAGGATGATTTCATCGCTAGACCTCCCTTTCGGCGAAGCTAGCAGTGGAGGAATTATGTTGGTGTCTTTGGCAACGCTTGAGGTCGTATTCTTGCATGTACTCATGGCCTGCTTACTATTTCCTAGGCAATTGGGCCGTTGCCACCCGTCGATATTGCCTATTAAGTACGTCGATTCGATAAGTCAGCGTCTGAAAACACCATCATGGACGCCTATACTGTCACGAAAGAGCTCACTTTCATGATCGAGATGTATTCTAAATCCTATCGTTGACTCACGACGGTAGCTGTATGCCGATTACAGCAGTGGAAGAATATAATACAATTCCAGGAGGCCCACAAGTGCAGTCCAAACCCTCATATCCCTCCGACGGGTGTCAGCAGTACCTTTCCAGGATCCAACTCGACATAGCTCGCCGCAGGATCGAGATTGCCGGGGTTATCAGCATCGAAATCAAAGCGATCTGGGATCTGCAGGCCATCGCGATGATAGCCATGCATGCGATACCGCCAGATGCTCGTACCGTCTTTCCACAGCCACAAGTCCTGCGTGTCATTCTGCCACTGCTCAAGCGCAGCCCGCATCTCCAACAGCTTGTCCTTGTGCGCTGGGTCGCTGGCTAGGTTCCGTACTTCAGCTGGGTCAGTGTCCAGGTCGTACAGTTCCTCGGGCGGCCGGAAGATGTAGTCCTTGAGCTTGCGCTGCCCGACCATAGCGGGCTTCCCTGTTTGCGCATCGCCAGAGTTGCGCATAGCCTCGAAGGAAAGAGAGGCGTATAGATCCATGGCAAACGGGAAGTCAAGCCGCCAGCAGACATTGCGATGGTACTTGTAGCGGCGGTCGCGCATGTACCGCGTAGGCCAGTAATTTGTCACTTCGTGGAAAGTATGCGATCCAAACACGCGGCTCCACTGCGTATCCTGCGCCGGAGGCTCAGCCACATCGACGACAGAGAGAAACGAGCGGCCTCGTCGCGGGCCAAAGAATCCTTCTGCGGGCTGGCGCCCCTTGTGGCCAGCCCAGTCGAGGAACGTGGGCAGAATGTCTACCCAGCTCACCATGTGCGAATTGGCGATTCCAGAGTTCAACCCGGGTATTCGCACGAGCAGAGGCAGCCGCACACCCGTTTCATACAGCGTTGTTTTGGAATTGATAAACGGCGGCCCGTTGTCGCTCAGAAACATTACCATGGTGCTCTCGGCAAGGCCCAGGGCATCCAGATGCTGCAGAATGGCGCCAATGCCCCAGTCCATGCGGTGGATAGCCTGGTAGTACTCTGCGAGCTCTTGCCTGACGAGCGGGAGATCACTTGTCCAGCTCGGGACCAGCACTTCGTCTGGAGCAAAGCGGCGCTCAGGGATCCGCTCGTCGTGTATGCGGTTGTTGCCAAAGCCCCCACGGTGCGGGATATCTCGATGCGGATCCACGAAGCCGACAGTCAGGAAGAAAGGCTCGTTGTGGTCCAGTGCTTCTTTGAAAAACGCCCGTGTGCGATGGGCAATATGGGCCACATTGCGGGTTCCGCTTTCTTCTCGCACTCGCCACGGGTACTGCGCATCAGGGGCGACATGGACCTTTCCAATGATGCCGGTCTTGTAGCCCAGCTCGTTGAAGACGTGCGGCATTGTCTCGATATCGGGGTGAGTCTGGAATCCGTTTTTGTCGTGCGTGAGGCCATAGCTGCCGTTGTTATGTGTATGCAGGCCTGTGTACAGCGTAGTCCGGCTCCCGCTGCAAGACGCCGTAGAGGCATATGCAAAATCGAATCTACTACCAGAGGCTGCGAGTATATCCAAGTTGGGCGTACTCACGGCGCGATTCCCATAACACCCTACGACGTCGCGGCCAAGGTCGTCGGCGACCATGAGCAGAATGTTCTTCTTGCCTGTCATTTTTTTTTGCTCGCAATCTTGTGGCGAGAGAAGAGCTCACTGTTCCAAACAATCAATCCGTCTTGGTCGACATAGACGACTATTTAGTAGGCGTAGTACTAGGGTAGGGATGCTTACAGCTCGGCCGTATGTGCTCCGATGCGAGTCGGACAGGCGGCGACGACATCCGACTCGTTACGCGTCTCGCGCTGAGTGTGCGCGAAGCTCTCGTACTCTCCACAACTCTTGGCCCCCGGATCTCGCTCTTCACTCTCTCCACATTTCACACGAGCTGCGAGCTCTAATGGCGAATCCCTCTCCTAGCCGCAACTCAGCCCGCTGTGTAACGTGCCGGCTGCGCAAGGTATTGCTGTTGAGAGACGAATACATTGTTCCAGGCCTAATCTCATCAGGTCAAATGCTCAGGGGGCGCTGCACCATGCCACAATTGCCGTCGCCTGCGACTGAACTGCACCTTTCCGCGCCCAGGCGATGGCATCATGCGCACAATGGCCTTGGGCACGCCGACTGAAGCTCTCACCGAGGCGGGCACAGCACGCCGTCGCATCACGGCCGCCTGCCACGGGTGCCGTGCACGCAAGAGTCGGTGTGATGGCCAGCGGCCGCGGTGCCAGCGGTGCCAGCAAAGTAACAGCGGGTGCATGTATCCAGAGGAAAACTCGCGGCCATGGCATCGCGAGCACCACCAGCCCATGATCCAGAGCGCTGCCCCCCTGGTCGGCCAAGCTGAACTCGCCACGGCGCCAACGTCGTCGCCCCCTGCTCTTGATCCGCTGGCGGCGCACCAAACACCGTCGGTGGACGTCTGTCGAGACCGCAGGTTCCTCAGCAGGGACGTCTTGTCGCAGCATATCGAGGCTTATTTCGTCTACATCTATCATATACCTGGGTACAACTTCTTCCACCGCCCCTCGTTGCTCGAGGACTTGTACCATGACAGGATCCCGTCCATCTTGAGCACGGCCATCTGCGCCATTGTATCTGGATACCTGAACCGCTCGAGAGCAGGCAAGCAGTTGTCTGTGGAATGGGCCACAGACGTCGATTCGTACCTTTCCACCAACATGAATAATCTTACCCTGCTCAATCTCCAGCTCATGGTGCTCTCGCTGTACCAACACCTTTCCTATCGCCAGTTTGGCAGGAGTTGGCTGATACTGGGTACGGCGACCAGATTGGCGCTTGGCATCCAGCTCAACAAAGAGAGTCGGCTTGCTCCGGAGAGCGAGGGTATTGCTTTGCGGGAATGCCAGAGAAGGCTAGCGTGGGGTATATTCATACAGGACAAGTTACACTCGGGTGGTATTGACGAGTTTGTGGCCATGCCTGCGCGCTGGATGCAGATTTCGCTGCCGCTGGAAGAGGACGACTTTCTTCGCGAGCGCAGTCGCCAACCCGTCTTTTTGAGCGATGATCCCGGACATGTACCTCAAGAAGGCCTTGGCATCAGTGCATATACTGTCGTGTTGATGCAGCTGCGGCATGAGATTCTGCAGTAAGAAACCCGAACCCCACCCCTTGACACGCTATTCGGCTCGGAGTGCTGACGGTAATCCCAGAGTGACAAAACGCGTCATTGCAAGATCTTCGTCCTCATCTCAGATTGGTGATGCAGCAATGATTGCATCTCTGGTCTCATTAGAGACGCGTATGCAGCGCTTCTATGCGGCTTTGCCTGCTCACCTCCGTCTGACTGACCGCAATCTTTTCGCATACTCTTCCAGCTCCAGATTGATTGCCTTCATCTCCTTGAATACCTGGTACTTGCAGGCCTGCTGTGACCTATTCCGCATATGCCTACCGGGAATGTCACGGGAAAGCGCCCTGCCTAGTTTACTGATCGACGCCCCTCTGGACCTCGTAGACCGGTGGCGGTGCTCGGCGGTATCCTACGCCAAGAAACTGGCTTCGACCTGGCGCCATCTTCTGGGTCTGAGTACCAGGGGTGCTCTGAAATTTCCTGGTGATCTTGTGCCTCTGGATCCAGCAAACTGTGTCAGCATTCACCAGGTATCCAAGATACTCTTGACAGCACGGAGATTTAAGCTGTATGATGGGCTGCGTGATCCACTCACTGGAGAGCCATGCTCTTTCGATGATGAGGAGGTCGCGCTATTGTGCCAAAACAACGTAGCCTATATCAAAGACTTTGCTTCCATCGCTCCAATAGCTACAGTCGTCGAACAGGATGTCAAAGCCATGGTCACATCGGACATTTTCAACGGCTCCCAGCGAAACGCAATGCCCAGTGCCGAGGAGGAAACGCCTGTGACAAGTCAAATACAGAAGGACCACGTCTTGAGCCGCTACAATGTTCTCGCAATGGGCATTGCGGCTAGCAGCAGCAATCCCAGCCCATGCAACCCCAGTCCATCAGACGAAGGATATGCGCTTTCCACGGCGAGCGATACGTCAATCGGAGGCAGGATGCCCAGTGTTGTGCGTGCCCGTTCATCGGTTACAAGCTATTCTATAGACGATGCTCCGCCCCAGCAAGACACGGAATTCCCTAGCTCTACACCGCACGAAAGCACCCACACACCATATCCACTACCGCATACCGCGCAACAGTTACACCACATAGAAAACACCTCGCCCAACCCCGATCCAACGACTATAAGTGAGCCAGGTCAACAGCAACTGGAAAACGGTGACAACTCAGGACCGGAAGCATCGTATCCCCCAGCGTGGCCTCTGGACTACTCTGTCCCCGGCTCCCAATTCGACATGAACGGGGAACTGGACTGGTTTCTGATGAACACCATCATCCCCCGCGACTAAACTAGAGTCGGCCCTACGACATTGCTTTTTAGTGGAGCGGATCTCGTCGCTCCAACGGCTGGGATCTGGTCGTTGACGAGTCAAGCCACCCCATATGCCGCAACCTCCACCCGCAGCTTGGCGCCCCAGGTGTTGCATTCCACAACATCGCGTAGTCCTAGTTCGGGTGTTAAGCTCTACGCGCCACACGTACAGTCAGCGTTGTCACTTCTTACCCGCCTTGTAGTCCAGCTCCAGATCACCACGTGCCGGCATCTGAGTCCCCCGGGCCTGTGCAGCAACCAACACAGACCATGGGCTCCGCAGTCAGAGAACAGACGACATTCACGCTGGTCTTCAGCGTGCTTGTCTTCTTGCAGGGTGCTATTCTGTTTGGCATGTATGTACCTTTTCATCGTTGAATATCGCAATGTACATACAGACTTATTGACCCGCGAATGCAGAGATACAGGTTCATTTGGCTCGCTGCAGGCTCTCCCGTCGTTTGTGCATCGGTTTGGCGTCGCGAGAAATGGAAAGCATATTCTCCCCGCCACACGCAAAGCGTTGATGAACTCGCTGCCGTGGATCGGAAAAATTACTGGTTGCTTCGCGGCGGAACCGGCAATTGAAAGACTGGGATTCAAAAAGACCATGTATCTCGCTGCTGTGGTCCAGATTATAGCCATTATCAGTACGTTTTGTTCGACATCACGGCACACTGCCCCTATCATTACTTCAACTTGGACTAACGGATTTTCCCTCTAGTTGAGCTCACGTCTCATGCCTGGTCCCAATTCACCGTCGGTCGCATCATTGCGTACAGCGCAGTCGGCCTAGTCGAAAACGCCGTGCCAGCATACAGCGCCGAGATCTCGCCAGCAGCGACGCGAGGCCTCTTCGCAGGCTCCATCATGTTCGTCACGGGACTTGGGAATCTCTGGGGCGCAGGCATGTCGCGGGCGTACGCGACCGAGTCTTCTGCAAAAGGCTGGATGATCCCCACCTCGATGCAGCTGATCCCCGCCGTACTCATGCTGCTCCTCGTGCCGTTTACCCCGGAGTCTCCGCGCTGGCTCCTGCTCAAAGGCGACACGGAAAAAGCATCCAAGAACCTCAATCAACTCCGTCCAAAAGCCCATGTCGCGAGCGGAGCCACACAGGCGGAAATCGATGCCTTTGTCTATGCCATCGAGGAATCTCATGCCCAGGACCAGGGCCGGTGGCTCGATCTCTTCCGTGGAAACTACCTTCGACGCACATGGGTAGGTCCAAAAAAAACACATATTCTGCATCTGCCTTTTACTAACCACCCCATGCCACGCCACAGATCTGCTCGACGCTCTTCATCCTCGAACAAACAAACGGCAACCAATTCGTGCAGTCCTACGCCGCAACCTTCTACGTGCAGCGCGGGCTCGGCGCAAACTCCTTCACATACACGATCCTGGGCCAAGTCGTCGGCATCATCGGGTGCGGCGTGGGTCTCGCTCTCGTCGACACCACGGGCCGGCGTCCGCTCATGCTCGGCGGCAGCATCCTGTGCACCCTGTTCCTGTACCTGGCCGCCGGCCTCGGCATGCAGGATACCAAATCGCTTGGCCAGACGACTAGCAATACTATCCTTGCGTGTTTTATTCTACTCCCGGCTTTCACGCGCATTTCGGCGAGTACAAATGCGTTTTTAACGGGCGCCGAGATTGGGGGCGTGAGAATGAGGAAAAAGACTATGGTATGATATATATTTCCCTCCCCTCCCCTCCCAACCACCAAAGCAGAAACAAGGACTACCGCTGACTCTGAAAACTAACCAAGTAGGCCTTCGGCACCGCCTGCGACGTCGCCGCCGCCTTCCTCGTCACCTTCGTAACGCCGTACCTGCTTCCCTCCATGGGCGTCAACATCGGCTGGATCTTTGGCTCCGTCGCCGCCTTCTCCGTCGTCTGGTCGTATTTGTTTTTCCCGGAGCTCAAGGGCCGCTCGCTCGAGGAGGTGGATGAGCTGTTTGAAGCCCGTTTGGACGCTAGGAAGTTTGCGGCGTACAAGAGTACCGGCGTGCGCCGTCTTGTGGCGCGTTTGGAGGCCGCGGAGAAGGAGCGTGCGGAGAAAGGGGCTGCGTGAGGTGCTGTGGGATGTGCTGATGCCATGTGCGACGGCGCAGAAAAGCGGGATTTCGTGGTGTAGCGAGGGAGCGATGGGACGTGGAGATTCTACATCAAGGAAATGGTTGTGCAAAGTGAGAAATTGAAATACAGTTTTTCCCGGGCCTTTTCTTTTTCTTTTTCTTAGTTGTAGATAGTGGACTGAGACGTACTCAGTCGGGTAAGTCAATGCTTGTGGGACTGATTTGTTGCAGGTACGGGGGTTTCTAGCCAGACATGTTGTATGTTTCCCCTTTGGATGAGTTTCTCAGTATGTATGTATGATGCAGCATCAAAGGAAATTGTTATACTCAAGTCCCATTTTCCTATGACTAAGCGCACCGAGTGTTCGAATACATTCATAGCCTAAACTCTGATTCTCATATACATTGATTATTTGATGCTTATTTACTTCAACGTCATTACACGCTGCGACACAACTCGCGCATCGCAGCAACATTTTTTGAGCCATCAAGCAGCGGTAATCTTCACAGTGCCACCCTGCAGTCCGCCTGCGGTAACGTCGACCGCAATCTCACCCGTAGCCCCAGCCTCGCTTCTCACGATAGCCAGAGCCATACCGCCGAATGCCTTCCTGGTCGTCTCCGGGAACGGCGTCATATCGGTAGGGTCGCCGTTGTCTGTGCTGACGATAACACCAGGGCCAGATGAGACCTTGAAACTGATTGCGTTGTCTGCGGTTGGAACGAGGATGCCGTTGGTGTCGTGTACGGAAACGCTGATGAAAGAAAGATCGTATCCGTCACCCGTGATGGTGGTGCGGTCGGCAGTAATGTTGAGGGAGGCTGCGGCACCGGCTGTGACTTGAGTTGCAGTGGCCCATTCTGCGCCGTTCTTCGAGGCGACTACGGTGACGTTGCCGGGTTCGTACTTGACACTGTCCCAGCGAAGACGGTAGTCGTATTGGCCTCTTTCCTTGCGGCCGGCAGAGACGCCGTTGATGAAGAGCTCGGCAGAGTCACCAGAGGTGTAGACGTGCACAGGGGTGACTTGTCCAACGCGATCCTCTGGCCATGTCCAATGAGGCAGGATATGTGCCATGGGTAGATCAGGCTTCCATCGGGCCTGGTAGAGATAGAAACGATCCTTCTTGAAGCCTGCGAGATCGACGATGCCAAAGTAGGAGCTGCGGCTTTCGTTGGCGTAAGGCGTGGGCTCACCAATGTAATCAAATCCAGTCCAGACAAACTCTCCAGCAACATAGGGGTGCATGTCTTGCATTTGGAAGACTTTGTCTGGTGATGCGGCCCATTCAGGTGCGTAAAGATCGTAGGAACTGACAACGTTCGTTTCCGGGTCTCCGCCCTCACCAGGCGCTCCGCCGACTATGGCGCTCTTGTTGGCAGTCACGGGGAAAAGGTACTTGCCACGAGTGCTAATGGCAGATGATGACTCGGTGCTCCAAATCATCTTCTCGGGGAAGGCTTGTTTGAAGTCGGGGAACGTGCTTACCCACGAGTTTCCCTTGCCTTCTCCCTGGTAGTTAAGGCCGATAATGTCAATGACCCCAGCAATGCCAGTTCCAGCACCAGCATTGTTCATGCCAATCGTCACCTTGCGGGTAGGGTCTTCTTCGTGGGCGATATCCTGGAGCGTCTTGCAGGTTTCGGTTCCAGTCGAGTTGCGTTGCTCCGGAAGTTCATTGCCAACACTCCATGAAATGATTGATGGGTGGTTTCGGTCACGGCGCATAAAGGAACGGAGATCAGGCTCGTGCCACTCTTTGAAGATGCGATGGAAGTCGTTCTCCACCTTTGGGAAGTTCCATGTGTCGAAGATCTCGTCCATGACCATCAAGCCGAGTCGATCCGCAAGATCAAGGTACTCTGGTGCTGGCGGGTTGTGCGAGGTCCGAAGAGCATTGTTGCCCATCTCCATCAAAATCTCAATCTGGCGCTCAGCGGCTCGTGTGTTGAAAGCGGCGCCTAGCGATCCAAGATCATGGTGGTTGCACGTGCCTTGCACGTAGATGCGTTCGCCGTTGATCAGAACACCTCGGGCCGGGTCGTACGCAACAGAGCGGATTCCAAAGACGGTTTCGTAAGTATCCACTGCCTCGCCGTCGATGGATACAGTAGTCATTGCTACGTACTCGTTAGGCTTCTGGGTAGGCGGAGGTCCCCAGAGTTTTGGGCTTGCAACCGAGACCGAGCCATTCCCAGCCTTCTTGGAGTGACCCGACAGGGCAGTGCTTGCTGCTGGGAACTTTGCGATGGCGTCGCCGGTTGCCGCCTTCGACGTTGGGTCGCGCTCAAAGATCTCGGTGACGACCACAACATTTTGAGTGCCGTTGCCCTTGTTTTCAATCTCAATGACCATGTCGACAGTAGCCTCCTGAGCAGAAACACTGGGAGTAGTAATGTAGGTTCCCCATTGCGCGACATGCACAGGCTCGACGGTGACCATCCAGATATTCCGGTAGATTCCAGCACCAGGGTACCAGCGCGATGAATCCAGTTTGTTGTCAAGACGAATAGCAAGGGTGTTTGACCCGGCTTTCGCATATGGGGTAAGGTCGAGGCGGAAGGAGTTGTAGCCATAAGGCCACCCACCCACAAGCTCGCCGTTGAACCATATGGCAGCATACGCCATGGCGCCTTCAACATCCAGGAAGATGGACTTTCCTGACGCGATGATATCAGCTTCAATTGAGACTGATCGTCGATACCATCCAATTCCGTTGATAGGCAGGTTTCCCAGATCGCCGGTAACACCGGGAGCATCGAAAGTGCTAGAGATGGCCCAGTCGTGGGGCACAGTGACCGCCTCCCAGCTCTTGTCATCGAAGCTTGACTGTACATAGCTGATGTTGGCGCCTGGAGCCGGACCGGAAGGGCGTTGGTATCCGTCTCCGGTAATGAAGTCGTTTGCACAAGGCATCATCCATGGCTTCAGCGTCTCATAACTCAGGCCATCGGGGTTGGATGTGAAGCGTGAGAAGCGCCAGTCTGCGTTGAGGGATGAGCGCACACGACCTGATGAAGCCGCGCGCTTCTTGAGGCCATGTGCAGATGCTTCATCGATAGCATTCGAGAACATGAGGCCGAGCAAGACGAGCCTGTACGCATTGGACAGCGTCCAGGATGAGCTGAACATGTTGAGCAGCCGGAACAGCGTGAACTGGAGATCAAGCCGTGGGTTTGCTCATGCAATGAACAGGTCAAAAACGAGTGGTGCCGTAGGCTGGGGCGAGGAGGTTGGAGTGCAAGGTACCTCGATTGCCGGCATGGCGTCTTTTGTAATAGGTTCGGTAGGATCGTAGAGTAGGATCGCGGGCTATCTCCACCCGTATCTCTGCACGTGTCTCGTCATGACGGGAAAACTCAGCAGGGCCTGCCGTCTCGGCACCGAGAGATATGCCAATTGTCGAATGATTAGTAGCACAGGGAGCCGCTGGTGGAAATGGAGCGGAGACTCTGGTCCGATGCCGACTGGGAAGTGAGCGGGGTGGCTGGCTTGGCTCGACTTAGCTTCGCCTTGAGTTTAGTCGAAGCGGACGTAGGCCCATTTCTCACGCCGAGCTTACCCAAGACGATGCGGGCAGGTGAAGATCCTCGTTGTTGTTGCCCTGGCCGAGGATAATAGGCTAGTGACGTCGTGCGCTAGGCCCAAACAAGCCGTCGGTCCGCCTACCGTCCCCTCACTTTCCCGCTGCGTGGCCTTGGCCGATAGTCGAGATAATTATGGAGAAGTGGGATTTGTCGCGTGGAGCAAGCAGAGGAGGCTCGAGATTTCGAAGATAAGACTGATACCATATCCGAGAGTGGGACAGGGCCAGAACCAAGCATTCTGTAGGCGGTCAAGCAACTCAAGCTCACAAGTCTTGATTATACTTAGTTGACCTGCGTATCGGAAGATTTGGTTCCTATTATTCGTACTGGCTGTCGTTGTGAGGGACTAGATCCGAGAATTCCGATTGACGAAGCTCCCGCAACAACCACTAGGATGTACAGCCATACAGCACAGATAGCCTGAGAATGACCATGCGGGAGCAGTGATCATGTGGAGAAGACCAAGCTGTAGCATGGTTCAGAACACTCTGCTGGCCAATGCTTTGAATTCCAATGAGTGGTATCCCTTGCAGACCCAGCGGTGAGCAAGGGTTTGGCATGGACACAGCGCTTCATGCCACTGACTAGACTGGCGAGAGTCAATCTCCAAAACGCGAATTGTATCCGCGATGATGGGAAATGTAGCTAGTAAAAATTTACTTTAATAAAGTCGAAGCTCCAGGAGATACTCAGTCTCTCAATCATGTAGTAACGTCCTGAATAGTCTTCCAATTGCAGCCCTCAAGAGCACCATGTTCATGTCACGACAGGAAAACCGACCAAGCCAAACAAGAGCAATAATATGACTACATATGTTCCCATACACGAGGGAGAATTCTCAAGCCGCTGCATTGACAAAGCTACTCCAGCGCCATCCCCGCATTCCTATCCCAATCAAAATCCACATACCCCAAGCTTCAACCTGACATCAAAAACCCATCAATGAAAGCCAAACATCCAAGACAAAAGAAAAAAAAAAGGTACGCGGGCACCTCACACGCACACGCTGCAAGCAAGCTACAAGCCCTAACTGGGCCAAGCAAGCGAACCCTTCCCCAGACCCACCAGCGGCGCTAAACCGCTTGTATTCAGGGTCTCTTGGCACCCAACGTCACACCTCTCCGTGGACGGGCGCGCGCAAACCCACGGCGCAAAAGCTCCCCTCAGCACATCTCTCTCTCCGCCCCGCATACTCCGCCACCCCACTCGAAACAAAGTTTACAGGAAACCACAGCATCACGACTAGAATCAGGGACTTTCCCTCGTACCCTGCACGTCTGCACACGAATACCCTATACCGTTACCCCCCTCCCCAGCACCGCTTGCAACACAACAAACAACATACACGTTGGAATCCTCTTTTCCCGGAACGAACGAACGAACCAACGAACAAAAGATACTCGGGGCGCAAGCCAGGACGCAAAACACCAAGAACAAGAACAAGTTGCCACGACCAACTACCACAGCCGCCTCCTCCTCCTCCCCACAACCACAATGTCCGCCTACGAGCGCGAACAGCAAAACGACTCTCGCCTCGAAGATCTCGCGTCCAAAGTCTCAGCCCTACGCGGCGTAACCATCGACATTTACGACAGCGCGCGAGACCAGCATGTGATTGATAGTACTGTACGTTTCTCTGCTATACACTGCCCCCCCTTTGATACCCTCCTAGTTATCCCCCACCTTTCGACGCTATATACGTGCTAATATATAACGATGATATCACTAGAGCGACACCTTCTCCTCATTCGCGACATCGCTCAAAGGCTCCGCGACACGCCTCACGCGCATGGCGTCGTCGGGCAATAAAGTCGCCATTTTCAAGCTGAGCGGCATGATTATCGCCGGTGTCGTGCTGTTGTATTGGGTGTGGCATTTGTTTTTCTGAAGAGCGAGGTGGAGAGAAAGGGGGATATGGTGTGTGTGTGTGTGTGTTTTGGGTCTGTTGGCTGAGGATGGGGGTTGAAGGGAGAATAGGGGATAGCGCAGGATAGGGGGAGGAGACATGCAGGGAAGGAGAGTCCCGAATGGACAGTCGTGAAGAAGAGGATGCCCTTGGAGGCGGGTCGGATACAAGAGAAGAAGAGGACGGGAGAAGGAAAATAACGGCGTGACATACATCAGGGATGAGGAATGGCTGAGCGGCAAGGGATGGGCTCGAGAAGGAATCGTCAAAGATGATCCAGTGTATATTGGTGGTCCTGCGACAGGCGACACGCCCGATTAGTCGAAGTTGCATATAGGGCGTTCACGGACTTGCCGGGGGGGGGGGGGGGGCGGAAACATAGAAGCGTTTTTGGTTTCGATTTTTGTGTTTTATATTGATATACAAGTTTCAAAAGCGGTCTATAGCTGATTGTGGATACCACGCCCCCGAGCTTGACTTCATCTTCAAATCGTAGCCATAACACTAACATTCAACTCCATCTCATCCATTATACTACTCCCAAACATTGGAAAATAAATCATCGCTAGCCCCACCGAATCCCCCCGGCGGTTTACCATGGGCAGTGCTCGTGTTGGTAGTAGTCGTGGCTGCAGGTGCAGCACTGCTCCAGCCCCCAAAATCATCGTCTTGTGTCACGTGAGGTGCACCCCAGCTGGACGTCGGTGCGGGAGCGGTTGCTGTGGTTGTTGTGGCTGCAGGTTGACTGGGTGCAGACGAAGCCCAGACGTCGTTGCCACCCCAGGCATCCATGTTGGAGAATCCCGAGTAGTTTACCGCTGCCGGGGCGGGTGTAGACTTGGAGGCAGGAGCAGGTGCGGGCGAAGAAAGGTTAAAGGCCGAGTTGGTGGATGCCAATGGCGGAGATTGAATTCTTGATGTGGGGGCAGGTTCCGAAGGCATCGATAGGTCCAGGAGATCGTTCATGCCAGAGGTTGCTGGAGCTGCAGGCTTAGCTGGTGCGGGCGATGAGAAGGCGCTGAAGTTACTGGCTCCTCCTGCAGGACTCATGGTACGACTTTGCGATTGGCTCTGTGCGGCAGGCTTTGAATCGAAAAAGTTGCCTCCGCCGCCAAACATGTTTGACGAAGACGTCGCGGGGGGTGATTTTTTGCCCGAAAGGCTTTCAAGGCCAGCAAAGGGCGAGGGCTTGGGGGCTGGAGCCGCGTTGAAAGACAGGCTGCTGAATGCGTCGTTCAAACCACCAAAAGTCGACTGTTGTGGCGAGGTTTGCCCTTGGGGTGATACCATTCCACCAAACGAATCTTGACGAGCATGCTGCTGAGGCTGAGGCGGGGCTGCGGGCTTTGCGGCATACAGCGACAAGATGGATTGCTTGAGGTCTGGTCTTGAAGGCGCCGCAGCAGCAGGACCTGTGCTGGACGGGCGAGCAGGGGCAGCAGAGGGTCCTCCACCGAGAAAGTCCAGACCTAGCAATGAATCGCCTGCCTTGTGTTGTTTCACGGGAGCCGTCTCTGCCTTGGGAGGCCCTCTCGCGTTTGCCGGCGGCCCGGTGCTCGGTCGCTGAGGGACTGGGTCGTCGCCAAACAAGTCGATTGCGGGCTGCGGCTGTGCCTGTCGTTCGGGAGGCGCGGCACGGCCTGAGTTCTGCGCCAGGCGTTGTGAGGCTGAGCGTTCTATCTGGACCTTTTCTTGCACCTTTTTCAGTGGCTGGGCTGGGGTTAGTCGCCGTCTGCACACAAGGCTGATAGCACTCACCACGTCATCGTCATCAGAGTCCAGCGTCGAGGGGTCGGGCATGGGCCCGTCCATGACCCAGCGCTTCGACTCGTACTTTGTTCGGATAAAGTTCTCAATCTTGGCCTCGGACGGAACGTGGCCCGGAGCCAGCTTCGACTCCCAGTACTTGTTGGCGCGCGCATTGCCCCATTTCAAGACGCTCTGCAGTTGCTCGTCGGTCCAGGTGTCGAGGTCGACCGACTTGACTCTGCTGATATGTGTTCCCATGCCACGGTGTATGCCCGAACACCGAATGCATATGAAGACGCCGAGATTCCAGCTGGCCCATCGAGGGTCTGCGGCAGTGTCAGTAGGCGCCCGGCACAATTGAAGCGCAAGCCTTACGCTTGTTCCGCTTGCAGTCTGAGCATGTCTTGTTGCCTTCGAGCTTGACCAGGTTCTTCAGCGTGGCGCGGTTCTGCTCTGCCCGATCAGCGGCAGGGTTGGGCCGTCGAGACATTGCGGGGCGGGCTGTCGTGGGTGCAGACGAGAATCGAGGTGGGCAGTCGAGGAGTCGGCGCGTGGCAGGCGGTGGGAAGGCAGTGTCTCGCGAGTGCACGTGTCAATGTCGAGGCAGGTGGGAGGGTGGGGATGGCCTGTTTCATTCGAGCCTGAAGCGTTTGGTGTGCCCTACCAATGACGCTCGTCTTGGCACCGCCTAGCCATGCCCATGCCCATGCCTATGCCCACGCCCACGCCGGCCGTGGATGCATCGACAGCACTTTTCGGCGTCTGCATCACCGCGCAGTCTTGTTTCTCGCGAGCGCGCATGGGGAATTAGCCATACAGGGGCTGCCCTGCTGGAATGGATTAATGCTTGCGAACGCCAGTCCCGGGTATCACAAATGGGGCATGCTATACTATAATACATGTGCTGACGCAGCAGCAACGCCTAAGCGGGGCGGAACCTCCAGTCGTCCCAGTCGTCGTCGTCGTCGTCGTCGTCTGACTCGCTTTCCTCGTCGTCGTCGTCCTGAGCAGCCGCACGCGCTGCCTCGGGCGCCTCGACTGACCGTCCAGACACGGACCGCAGCGCCTCGCGTTGCTCCCGCAGCCTCTTGACCCTCTCCTCCAGCCCGTCCATCTGTTCGAATTCGTCCTCGAGGGCGCGCGCAGCATCCTCCTTCTCGCCCTCGATTTCCTCGTCCCGCTTGGCCCGCTGGGCACTCTGCTCTTCTCGCGCCTGTGCGGCCAGCTGGGCGGCTGTCATGGGCGCTGCCTCAATGACAGCGCCTGAGTAGGCAGGCTTGGCGGGCTGTGGGGGTTCCGTCTCGGCCTTCATTTCGTTCATGAAGGCGTCGAGCTCAGCCTGGGCGGCCGCGTCGAGCGGCGGGTTCGCGGGTGCGGCTGGCTCTGGGGGCTCGGTGTCTGTTGTTGGTGGTGGTGGTGGTGCTGCTGCCGGTGCCGGTGCGCTCTCGTCGGCGGGCAGAGGCGCGACTTGTTGGGCGTCCGGCGTCGCGCCCGCATCGAAGAAGCCTGCAGGCACGCCCGCCTCGTCCTCGGTCCGCGTGCGCTTCCTCTCGTCGCCGGCGTCGTCGGGGGCCTTGCGCTTCTTGGAGGAGGGAGCGGCGGCGGGAGCGGGCGACGGCTTCTGGGGCTTCTGGGCCTGCTGGCGCGCTGCACGCTGCTGGCGCAACAGGGCGCGGGCGTCGGCCATTGCTGGGCGGCGGTGGTGTGGTGGGATAACGCGGTGGGATAATGCGGTGGCAGGCTGGGCGAGGGCCGGCAACGGGTGTGCTTGTTGTGTGTGTGTGCATGCACGTATTGCATGGAGAGGCTCGCGGCGCGCAGAGGGTCCATGGCTCGCTAGTGGCTGGGATTACGGCAGCCAAGACTTGGGCAAAACGCTGCGTCCAAGCTCCACCCGTCTCCTCACTGACACCATTCTATTCCGACACCACACGACTCCACGCACGCTCTCGCATTGCACATCGCGCCTCTGCCCGGCACTGCTCGCCCTCGCCCTCGCCATTCCCCTTCTCTGCAGCCCCCCCGCTGCGCCCGCATCGCCGCGCTCGCCCCGCGGCCGCGTCTGCTCGTCACTGCCCGCTCGGTCGCGCCGGCTCCTGTGCGCGCCGCCGCCTCCGCTTCCGGCACACACACACGCGCGCCTGAGGAAGCTGCGACTCACGCTCGGCAGGCTCGCCTCGCCCCGCGCCTTCTGTCTGGACAGTTGGGCAGGCGCCGTGTGGTGCGCGCTCGTTTCCAGTGCTAGTTAGAAGCCGCTCGTACGGCGTGTCCGCTGGCCCGCAACGCCACGCAAAGGACGGGATTGGGGCTTCCGTAGAGACTTTTTTGTTCTTGAATCTTGTTTGCGCACAATAGCATAAGCTGCATTCGTGCAACCGTCAATTTGAGCCCATCCCCCCGCCTTCGTGTCCTCCACCATGGCCGGTAAGCAGACACCATCTACACGCGCCCACGGCATGCGGTCGCCGCGCGCCCCGCACACGACACGCGCGCACACGACCGCCCCCGATGCCCTCGCACATGCTGATTCTGCTGCCACAGACGAGATCAGGCGCTCCGGCCGCGCCAACAAGGGCCACCATACAAAGAACCAGGACGCCCTCGACGAGCCCGCTGCTGCCGCTGCCGCCACGACGACTGCTGCCGCTGCTGCTGCTGCTGCTGCCGCCGCTGCTGCTGCTGCTCCCGCCGCCGCCACCCCCAAGTCCAAAGCACCGTCAGCAGCCGAGAAGAAGGGCCAGGCACACGCAAAAAAGGGCCAGGCAAAGCGCGCGCAGTCGGCCCAGTCGGCCGATGCAGACGAAGACGACGACGACGATGAGGAGGAGGATGCCATCATCCGCTGTGTGTGCGGCGACCAGCGCGACATCCGCGGACGCCAGATGATCTGCTGCGACAATTGCACCGCCTGGCAGCACAACAAGTGCCTGGGACTGCCCGAAGGCGACTATTGGGAGGGCAAGGACTACTACTGCGAGCAATGCAAGCCCGAAGACCACGTCGAGCTGCTTGCTGCCATGGCCCGCGGCGAGAGGCCGTGGGCGCGCAAGAAGGGCTCCAAGCCCAAGCCTCGCCCCAGCGACGTCAAGCAAGAGGCTGCATCGTCTGAAAAGGCGGCCACGCCGCAGCACGAGACGCCTTCGCAGCCTGCACAAGCTCCGGCCGAGGCCTCTACGCCGACCCCAGCCCCCGTTGCTGTGCCGCACTCAGACGCCTCCAACGGCCATGGCGACTCCAAGGTACGCTGCCCCACTTCCCCCAACACCACCTCCCCTCACGCATGCAAACAGGGCACCAAGAGCCAGCCCCAGTCTCCTCTCGGCGAAAAGCGCCGTCATGACGCGGCCTCGGAAAAGGCTAGTGCAAATAAGAAACGCAGAAAGTCAAGTCACCAGGAGCCCAAGCAGGAGCCGCAGAATGCGCCCGCTGCCGACATCGACGCGCTTCCGCAGAACCAAAAGGCTGTCGCGGAGAAGATGTGCGAGACGCTGGCACCCTTGATCACGGCTGCTTCGGACACGCGGGGGTACCGCATTCCCGACGGTCAGACTGCCAAGTCGCTCGCTGCAAAGTATACTCTCCAGATGTGCCATGCCGCGTTCAATCTGTATGGGGAGCCCACTGGTGGCTCCTCGCCCTACTTTGGCAAGATGCGCACCATCATGTTCAATGTCAAGAAGAACACGGTTCTCGTAGACCGTCTGCTCTCCGGAAACCTCAAGGCGGACGATCTCGTGAGCATGGAGGCGGAAGAAATGGCAAGCGAAGACAAGCAACGCGAGTACGCTGCCATGCGAGAAGCAGCCGAGAAGCAGATGATTTTGACCGAAGAGACTGGGCCTCGGCTACGCAAAACTCACAAGGGCGAGGAGATTGTCGGCGAGGATAACTTTGAGAATGAAGACTTCAAGCAGCCTGTTCAGCGCGAGCGAGAGAGTGTTACCGAAGACACGACAGCACCGTCGCCTGTTGCCGTGCGCCCATCCGAGAGTCCCGCTGCGTCTAGGGGACCCGAGACAGACTCGGTGCAGCACGATGGCCTGCGACGCGCCTCTACAAACTTTGACATTAATTCCGTCTTTGACAAGGTTCGCTCGCCGCAGCACGACCAGCAAACCTTCCTCCACCGCCGTCGCAGCTCCATGCACACACAAGACAAGCCCCAGAGCGCCGTAGACGATGCAGACGTTGACCGGTTGCTCAAGGACGAAGACAACGACGTCGAGATGGCAGGCTACTCATCAGACCCCACCGTCTGCTGGCACGGCTCCATCAACATGCAGTCTATGGAACCATTTGATGCAGTCGCTCGGTTCGTCGCAGGTGGCGACTTTGGCCAAGTGGTGCCCTGGGAAAAGCTCTTGACCCATATTGTGGCAATCCAAGGACGCATTGAGAGTTCAAAGGGAAACGACTATATTCAAAGCATTGGACACACGGAGAGCCACGAAGTCTCCATCCTTGCCATTAGCCCAGTCACCACCGAGGGCCGCACCGTCATGGACCATCTGTATGAGTACTTCCACTCACGTGGTAGGTGGGGTGTTGTACCTGTCGAAGGCAACGGCATTCTCCGCGATCTCTATGTGATTCCGATCGAGGAGGGCGGAAGTAACCTTCCCCCGTTCATCGACATGCTGGAGTACTGTACCATTGAAACACCGCGCAAGGAAAACATGTTGATCTTGGCCCTTGTTGCCAAACTACCAGAGGCTAAGCCACAACTGCCACCCACACAACACTATGAGCGATATCCCGCTCAGGAGGTGGCTTCTGGCCACATTGCGCAGCCTGCTCTCGGCAATGGTTCCAGCCCATCCCCAATGGCCAACCCCCACGCGCCACAATTTTCGCCCGTCAGCGCAGTCTATCCACAAGCGCAGTACGGCAATCCGTTCGTTCCACCACAGGCAAACATGGTACCTCAACCCCCACTTCCCATGCATACCCCACCACACCACCAAATCCCCAAAGCACTGGAGATCCTCGGCCCGTACATTGACGCTCCGGTGATTGTCACTATCCTCAGCTCCAATCTGTCACAGAATGCAGTTGTCTCGGAGCTACAAATGATCAACCTTCGACATATTGTTGAGACTGTGCCGGAAGCACGGGATAACATCACAGTGCTCACCAACCATTTGCAATCCAAGACGGAGGCAAACAGACAGCAACAACATGCCCAGCCCTCTGGAGCGTTGTAGGACAGTGTCACAGATGCGCTGGCTATTATGGAAATGCACAATCAATAACGCATGTTTTCAGGAAGAGGTAAGAAAAAAAAGAAACTTGAAATGTTATGCGGTACTTGGGCGGTTTACTCTCTTTGTCTTGGCAGCAAGTGGTTCTGCTTTAGGATCAGGATCCAGTTGTGTATGGTGGCGGCGATGACGGCGATGACGGCGCTTCCTATCTTTTTTCTCTCTTTTTCGTTAGTATACTTTGATACCCACCTGTGGTGTACTAGTTTTGTTTTTTCCAGTAAATACTTTTTTGGTTTCCACTACTCTCCGAAAAAAAATATCTCCGTCACTCCTTATTCACATCTCTCAAGGTTCTGCGCGCAACCCCTGACATGCGTTCTTAAACTGATGCCTTCATACACATAATGCATCCGTGCCTCAGCCTCAGCCTCAGCCTCAGCCTCAGCATTTCTCGCATATATCTACGTTCCGATAACCGAAATCAAACCCTCAGATTAACACGTCACTGAAAATCTACACACGCTCATAACATCCTACCAAATCTTTACCCTTTGCGCTAAGTAAGTAAGTAAACCCAAAATAAAAATGCCAATCGAGTAAGCAAGCGGTTATGTATGGCTCTAAACTAGTGTTGTCCCTCAGACCAGCTCAGCCGCATGTAGTCCAAGTTCACCCTCGGATTTGGGTTTAGGTTTGGGTTTGGCGAGCGGACGGGGCCCGAAGATGTGGGTTGGCTGGGCTGGGCTGGGCTTGATGGGCTTGATGGGCGGGGGGAAGAGAAGGCAAGGGGAGGGGCTGATGAGGGCTGGTGTGGATGTATATACGTCATATCGAAAGGAGAGGGGCATGAAGACGGAGAGTGCTGGGAATAAGTAAGTAGCTGTATCTAGGTATTGTATATATGTGAATACAAAAAGCAACGTCGGATATTTGCCAGGACTACAGGATATGGACACCTCACTGCTACCATATACCATCTACTCTGCAGCGTTGTGAAAGCCGTTGCGTCAATACGTCGAAATCACTTTTAAAACAAATATCCGCCCCCCACCCTCCCTCCCTGTACCAAAAAGAAAAAAGCCAATATTCAACAAGACTGTTATGAGTAACGCGCCGAGATGCAACAAAGACATGACAATGACAGATGCTGAGGGCAGACGGATTGGTCGACAGACACAGAAAATTACCGATGCCAGACGGAACGGAACAGGGGTCCCAGACGGAACGGAACGGGGGGGGGGCTGGGGGCTGGGGTTGCGCAAAAAGAGTCAGGTAAAGCAAGGCAAGCTACCCTGCACTAGTCATGAAAAATGAATGATTCATGGAGGCTAAAACGCTCTTAGCTTTAGTGTTGGTGTTGGGCCATAACCCGGAGATTTATTAGCCGCCTGCCGCCGGTCGCATCATCTCGGGAGGACGGGCATCGACGGCATGTGCCGAGAGAGAAAGCGAAAGAGAGAGAGAGAGAGAGAGAGAGAGAGAGAGAGAGT